GAAGCACCTGGAGACCAGGTAAATAATGCAGATTCCTGAGCCCTCCATCCAGAGGCTCTGATTCCCTGAATCTGGGTTTTCCCAAAAATCTGCAATGCTACAAAGCATGTCAGTAGACCATGCTTTGAGTAGGACTGTCATACATAATCCTTTACTTTTCCTTGTGCTAAAGAAAGGGGAGGTGTTTGTTTATAAATCTTTATGTAAGGCATTACATATTATTAGTGTTTGAATAATTTAGAGCTGTATTTCTCAATCCAAATTGTACTGTGGACCAGAAAGCTAAAGTTGCTCTGTTAGAATTGAAGTGGGGAACCCCTAGAATGCAACTCTGAGAAGCTTGGGGTTTGGCACCATTCTCCTTTCTGTGCCCAAGGCCCAGCAGGCCCAGACCAGGAGCACCTCTGAAAACTTGAGTAAATGTATTAATAACCGACAAAACATGGAATGATTTTTTTTTGTAGGTGCCTGATATCCCTTTTATTTCTAGTTTGCTGAGTTTATATCATGAATTGTTGTTGAGTTTTGTCAGATGCTTTTCTGTATTTGTCAAAAAGGATCATATAGTTTCATCTTACTATGGTCATTTAAATTGATTGAGTTTCAAATTTTAAACCAACTTCATACTTTTGGGATAAACACTAGGTCATGATGTATTAACCTTTTAAAATATATTGATGGATTTGATTTGCTAATATTTGGTTAAGGATTTTTATGTCTGTTTTCATGAGAAATATTGGTCTATTGGTCTATAGTTTTATTTTACTGTAATTTTTGTCGGGTTTTGGTATCAAGGTTATGTTGGTCTCATAAAACAATTTGAGAACTATTCCATCCTGTATTTCAGATAGTTTGTATAAGATCAGTGTTATTTCTTCCTTCTATGTTTGACAGAATGCACTAGAAAAATCTAGTTCTGAAGTTTTCTTTGTAGAATAGTTTCTTAGTTTTTTTAGAATTGACAAAAGTTTCTGGAATAAAGGAAGGATTATGTCATATCATTTCATGTCAGTTCTAGTAGGTTGAATTTTTAAAGAAGTCTTTCTATTTCATATAATTTGTTGAATTGGTTAAAATTGATCATATTTCTTTGTTGTTCTTTTAAAGTTTGTAAGACCTGTAGCAATAACCACTCTTACATACCTGCTATTGACAATCTGTGTTGTCTCTTTTTGTTCTCAGTCTGGCTAGAATTTTCAGCTCAGTTCAGTTCATTTGCTCAGTCATGTCCGACTCTTTGCGACCCCATGGACTGCTGTACTGCAGGACCAGTTCTCAGAACTTGCTCAGACTCCTGTCCATCAAGTTGGTGATGCCATCCAGCCATCTCATCCTTTATTGTCCCCTTCTCCTCCAGTCTTTCCCCACATCAGAGTCTTTGCCAGTGAGTTTGTTCTTCGCATCAGGTGACCAAAGTATTGGAGTTTCAGCTCCAGCATCAGTCCTTCCAAAGAATATTCAGGACTGATTTCCTTTAGGGTTGACTGGTTGGATCTCCTTGCAGTCCAGGAAACTCTCAAGAGTCTTCTCCAACACCACAGTTCAAAAACATCAGTTCTTCAGTGCTCAGCTTTCTTTATGATACAACTCTCACATCTGTACATGACTACTGGAATAACCATAGCTTTGACTATATGGACCTTTGTTGACAAAGTAATGTCTCTGCTTTTTAATATGCTGTCTAGGTTTGTCTTAATATGTTGGCTAGGTCAACTTTCCTTCCAAGGGGTAAGCATCTTTTAATTTCATGGCTATAGTCACCATCTGCAGTGATTCTGAAGCCAAGAAAATAAAATGTCACTTTTCATTTTTCCCCCTTCTACTTGCCATGAAGTGATGGGTCCAGGTGCCATGATCTTAGTTTATTGAATGTGGAATTTTAAACCAGCTTTTTCCCTCTCCTCTTTGACCGTCATCAAGAGACTCTTAAGTTCCTCATCACTTTCTGCCATTAGAGTGGTGTCATCTGCATATCTGAGGTTATATTTCTCCTGGCAATCTTAATTCCAGCTTGAACTTCATCCAGTCAGTCATTTCACATCATATGCCCTGCATATAAGTTAAATAAGCAGGGTAACAATATACAGCCTTGACGTACTCATTTCCCAATTTGGAACCAGTCCATTGTTCCATGTCCAGTTCTAACTGTTGCTTCTTGACCTACGTACAGATTTCTCAGGATGTAGGTAAGGTGGTCTGATATTCCCATCTCTTTAAGAATGTTCCACAGTTTTTAGTGATCCACACAGTCAAAGGATTTGGCATAGTCAATAAAGCAGAAGTAGATGTTTTTTCTGGAATTCTCTTGCTTTTTCTATGTTTTAGTACCTCTTTTAAAACTTTTTCCAAATTACCAGCTTGGGCTTTGTATGACAGGAAGTGTGCCTAACAAACTCCCATCCCAAAATAACTCCACTTCAACTTGTCAGGAAACTGTAAACTTCTTATAGATAGAAACTGTTATGTTCACACCCTAAAATCCAACATCTATCATAGTGCCTGGTGTCTGTCACTGATGATTATGGGCTGTTGTATTGAGTCAGATAAACTCTTCTTTAAAATGTAAGCACTCAATTTCTAAATGTCAAAAAAAATAAGACCATGAGACATGATTAAAAGCAGAACGGGTTGACCAGTTTAAGTAAAGGGCTCTTAAAATCCAGAAGGAAAACAATATTATCTCAAGTAGAAAAATAAATAAAATCCATAAGTACTTTAAAAATGAGAACCAAAAGTGGACAGTAAACATGCAAAACTATATGTATCCCCGCTATATATTAAAAGAATACAAAACAAAACAACCATCTTAATAATTTCAGTTATCTTCACTTTGGTGTTTCAAGAGGCAAATTGACTTACCTACCTAAAATAGGATAAATTTTGAGACTCCCTCCCTTCCTTATTAGTCCTTTTATCCCAAACTGGAAAATGGGAAACTATTCCTCCAGCTCTTCTCCTCAAAATACAAGGACATAGACTCTGGGTTCTAGTGTTGGCCTTCCTTGCTGTTTCCTGGCTTTGTAACATTGAGAAGGTTGTTTTACCAGTCTGAGCTGATTTCCTCTTCTGTAAAGTGGAAATGGTCCCATCTTGTGAGAGAGCGCTGCAGGATGGAGGGAGCAGATGAGTGCTGTGAGTCAGCACAGTGCCTGGCACGGAGCGGGTGCTGAGAGCTCTTACAGTATACTGTTCCGGGCAGCCGCTTCATCCAAGTCCCCCAGCCCTCTCTGAGGCCCTGCCGCCTCCGCTGCCTCTCTCAGGGAAATTTCCAGCTCCTCAACCGCTTTCTTCTGTCTCCTTGGCTTTCTAGTATCACTGTTTCTAAAATCTCACTAACTAAGTTGACTGAGTCAACTTGCCTGTATGTTTTCCTAGCCACTCACCTTCTATTGGACACAGATTATTTCCACTTGCTCATAAGATATTCTATAAACCAAACTCCTGGATGAGGAAGTGTTCTGCTTTGGGAGTTAATCCTGTGTTAGTGGGGATCTGATCTCCCAGATTCTCAATATTCATTGAAGTCTTGAGATTATTTCATAATTCAGTTCAGTTCAGTCACTCAGTCGTGTCCGACTCTTTGCAGCCCCATGAATTGCAGCACGCCAGGCCTCCCTGTCCATCACCAACTCCCAGAGTTTACTCAAACTCATGTCCAGCGAGTCAGTGATGCCATCCAACCATCTCATCTTCTGTCGTCCCCTTCTCCTCCTGCCCCCAGTCCCTCCAAGCATCAGGGTCTTTTCCAATGAGTCAACTTTTTGCATGAGGTGGCCAAAGTATTGGAATTTCAGCTTCAGTGTCAGTCCTTCCAATGAACACCCAGGACTGATCTCCTTTAGGATGGACTGGTTGGATCTCCTCGCAGCCCAAGGGACTCTCAAGGGTCTTCTCCAACACCACAGTTCAAAAGCATCAATTTTTCGGCACTCAGCTTTCTTCACAGTCCAACTCTCACATCCATACATGACCACTGGAGAAACCATAACCTTGACCAGACAGACCTTTGTTGGCAAAGTAATGTCTCTGCTTTTTAATATGCTATCCAGGTTGGTCATAACTTTCCTTCCAAGCAGTAAGCATCTTTTACTTTCATGGCTGCAGTCACCATCTGCAGTGATTTTGGAGCCCAAAAAAATGAAGTCTGACACTGTTTCCCCATCTATTTCCCATGTAGTGATGGGACCAGATGCCATGATCTTAGTTTTCATAATTAGATTTACATGAAACAGATGTTTGTTTCGTTTGTGTCTTCTCTTTTTTGATTGGTTCCAGGAGACCGCAAGTGTCCTGAAACAATCCTGCTGTCAGGATTTCTATGCTTTCTGGGAGTGAGGAAGGGAAGGAAGGAGCAGAGGAAGAAAGGAAGGGAGGGACAGAGGGAGAGGAGACAGGAAGGCAAGTAGGATTGGTAAATGCTCACTAGGTATTTGTTGAATAAATGAAGGAATGACTCTGGGATCATTAGCCCTGCTTTGTAGATAAGGACCTAAGGTTCAGAAAGGTTAAAAAGCTTGTCCAAGAACACAATATTGGGCCCTACATTTGATCTCAAGTGTTTCTCCAATATTTTGGCCACCTGATGTGAAGAGCTGACTCATTTGAAAAGACCCTGGTGTTGGGAAAGATTGAAGGCAGGAGGAGAAGGGGATGACAGAGGATGAAATGGTTAGATGGCATCACCAACTTAATGGACATGAGTTTGGGTGGACTCCAGGAGTTGGTGATGGACTGGGAGGCCTGGCATTCTGCGGTTCATGGGGTCGCAAAGAGTCGGACACGACTGAGCGACTGAACTGAACTGAATTTTGATATCCAGTTCCACTGTCTTTCTATTATACCTCCTGGGACACTGGTCTACCTTAGTGCTACTCACAAGTTCCTAATTTCATTATAAAGTTCACCAACCAGTAGCTGGACCATGGATCACATCTTTTTGTACCTAACCACATGGCTTTGAACTCCATGTCTCTATCACTTCAGATGCTCTCAGCGTCTAGATGGAGCCCTCAGACATCCCAGAGTCCACCACCTCTTATGAGTATGATCCTCAGAGCTTTCTGTGTGAGAAGAGGACCTTCGTCTTCGCCACCGTCAGCACCACCATCCTCTACTGCCTGGTGTTCTTTCTCAGCATGGTGGGCAACAGCCTGGTGTTGTGGGTCTTGGTGAAGTATGAGAGCCTGGAGTCCCTCACCAACGTCTTCATCCTTAACCTGTGCCTCTCAGACCTGGTGTTCTCCTGCTTGCTGCCCGTGTGGATCTCGGGGTACCACTGGGGCTGGGTGCTGGGAGATGTTCTGTGCAAGCTCCTCAACATGGTCTTCTCCATCAGCCTCTACAGCAGCATCTCCTTCCTGACCATCATGACCATCCATCGCTACCTGTCGGTGGTGAGTCCCATCTCATCCCTGCGCGTCCACACCCTCCAGCGCCGTGTGCTGGTGACCGCCGCCGTGTGGGCGGCCAGCATCCTGTCCTCCATCCCCGATGCCATCTCCCACAAGGTGTTCCCTTCGGGCTGTGACTATGCAGAACTCGAGTGGTTCCTCGCCTCCGTCTACCAGCACAACATCATCTTCCTGCTGTCCGTGGGGGTCATCCTATTCTGCTACGTGGAGATCCTCAGGACCCTGTTCCGCTCACGGTCCAAACGGCGCCACCGGACCGTGAGGCTCATCTTCACCATCGTGGCGGCGTACTTCCTCAGCTGGGCTCCCTACAACCTGATCCTGTTCCTGCAGACACTGTTGAAACTGGGGGTCATTCAGAGCTGCGAGGTCAGCCAGCAGCTGGATTATGCCCTGCTCATCTGCCGCAACATTGCCTTCTCCCACTGCTGCTTCAACCCGGTGCTCTACGTCTTCGTCGGGGTCAAGTTCCGCAGGCACCTTAAAAGTCTGCTCCGGCGCTTCTGGCTCTGCCGGCAGCAGGCGCCCAGCCTTCCTCAGTCACCTCACCCCCCAGGTGCCTTCACCTACGAGGGCATCTCCTTCTATTGAAGGGGAGTTTGGTGGGGCAGGAAGGAGGGAGAGGGCACGCGGCTGGGAAACGCTACAGCTGCGGCTGGGGGATGACAGCGGTGCGTTACACCAGGGGGTCCTATGGGCCCCCTCTTCTGCAGAGAAGTTCCCCACCTGGAAATCTTACATTGCCATCCAGAAAAATGCTTCTTAGATTCTGAGGAACTCTTTTCTCCTTTATTCCTTCATTCAGACACGGATTTCTCATCTTTGCTCAGGTCAGGAGACTCTCAAATATGAAAGGCTTCCGGGAAAGGAGCATCCTTCAGGACTTGCGAGGGTCTGGAATTCAGTTGTGCAGCTCTAGGCTGCTGGCGAGACGGTGTCCCCTCCCTGACTGTAGGACTGTCCCCCAGTGTTGGAGGTGGTGGCTCCGGATGGGACTGTCTGTAAAAGTGATCACACCCGCAAACAAGCACAGTCAGAATGAAATCTGGATTCTGAATTCCCACAGCTGGACTGGAGATGTGCTCTGTACCATAGCTCCAGTTTCTAGAACATGAAGTGGCACTTGAATATTTAGTCTGTAAATCTTTTATTGAAAGAATGAATGCAGTAAGTGCCACCTTCTGCAGGCATTTACGTGGAAGCTATAAAAATGAATGAGATGCAGATGCTAACCTCCAGGTGCCAACAGTTGAGCTCCGAGGGCCCAGATAACTAAACACCCACCTTGCTGAAGGCATCCAGGGTCAAGATTCCTCCAACACCTCCTCCTCTCCAAGTGGATATTGAGCTGACATTTCTGATTCATCACGTTCCACCTAAAGTGTTCTCCTGCTCCTGGTTGATGCTGCCAGCTTTCCCCACAAGCTGGGTTATCTTGGAGCCCTGCGTTTCCTTTCCTCTATGCCCACGGCCAAGTCCTGTTGATGTTACCTTCCCAGTATCTCTCACATGCCTGTTGCTTCCTCCCCAAAGAGCCTTATATCCTCAGCATCTTCCTGCTACTCATTTCTTTCCCCTCCAGTGTCCTCTGCATTGATATCACGGCACTTCAAAACCCTCACATTATGTTCAAATAAAGCCCAAATACCATAGGCTTTATCTGCATGTAAATAAAGGCCCCTTCAATCTGGTGTCAACTAACTTTTCCATTCTTTCTAATTTTTGTTGTTGTTCAGTTGCTAAGTTGTGTCCGACTCTTTGCGACCCCATGGATTACAGCACGCCAGGCTTCCCCCTGCTTCACTACCTCTTGGAATTTTTTCAGACTCAGGATCATTGAGTCAGTGATGCCATCCAACCATCTCATCCTCTGTCACCCCTTTCTCTTTCTGTCCTCAGTCTTTCCCAGCATCAGGGTCTTTTCCAATGAGTCAGCTCTTTGCATCACATGGCCAGAGTATCGGAGCTTCAGCTTCAGCATCAGTCCTTCCAGTGAATATTCAGGGTTGCTTTCTTTTAGGACTGACTGGTTTGATTTCCTTGCAGTCCAAGTCTCAAGAGTCTTCTCCAGAACCGCAGTTCAAAAGCATCAATTCTTCGGCCTTCAGTCTTCTTTATGGTCCAACTCTCACATCTGATTTTGATCCAACATAAATCTTCACCCCCAAGCAGCCTAGAACCCAACCACAAAAGACCACACTGGTCCTTTTCCAGACACCCTTCTCCCAGTCTCCTCTGGTCCTTTGTCATGCTGGGCCTTCTACTCCTTAACCTTCAGCCCCTAGCTGAAGCACCAGCACCTTCAGGAAGGCACCCACAACCTCTACATTAGGAGAACAGTCTCTTTGGTGCGCAGGCACTCTGCTTGTCCCCTCTGAAATAGCATTTGTCATCTTCCAGTGTCTTGTAGTTGCACCCGTGGATGTCTGATCTCCCTGCCCCATCACACTGCAAACTCCCAGATGGCAGGGACCTGGCCTTGCACCTGCCAAGCAGGGCCCTGGTGTCCTGTCACTGTACTGCGTGTGGGAAAACAGTGACAGCTGCCGTCCGTCTTCTGATGTGCTTTGGGGCGGCCAGGACCCTGTGACACATTCCACCTTGTTTGCCCCAGCCTGCCTCTTTATCAGTACTAACTTTTCTTTGCTAGTCTCCACTCTGAGAGCACACTGCTTCTCTCTCTCTGTGGCAGTGGCTTGCCTTGCCCATCCTTTTTATTTAGTGGTACACTGCCCATTTCTTACAATAACCCAGAGCTTCACATCAAAGGACGTAGAGGAAGACCACCCTCTGAGCTTCCCCTACCCCACAGACCTGATCCCAACCTGTGAGCCTGACTCACTCTGGAGTAGGGCGTTTGGAAAAGCTCCCTAGGTGATTCTGACATGCACCCCAGTTAAGAACATTTGGCTCCAACCCCTTGAAAATGGGAATTCCAGAGATTTCCACAGTCCCCTGAGCAAGACTTTGCACTCAGCGAGCATTCAACACATGCTTGTTGAATCTGCCTGCCAATGAAGGAGACACGGGTTTGATCCCTGGGTCAGGAAGATCTCATGGGGAAGGAAATGACTACCCACTCCAGTATTCTTGCCTGGGAAATCCCATGGACAGAGGAGCCTGGTGGGCTACAGTCCACGGGGTCGCAAAGAGTCAAACATGACATAGCAACTAAACAACAGTATAGCCCTCATCTAGAGCTTAGAAAGTTTATACAGCATTTTCCCCTGAAGTTCCTGCTGCAGTTTCAGTGATCTCTTTGCCTCTGGGCAGCCAGTCTTGAAGGAGTTTGACCTGACTGGGGAATAGTGAGGGTCTAGTTTTTAGAATTAGGCCTGTAGCATCTGTTGGGGAGGGCTGGCTGGTGCAGTTGTAAGGGGATAAAACCCCTGTGGACTTGCTAATCAACTGGCGGGGCCATCACTCACCATGGAAGAAAGGAAGAGCAGAAGGAAGGAGACAGATAGCTATGGGGGCATAGCTAAGCCTATGAGCTTCTGGTCAGGCCCATCATCCCGCACTCCTTCAAGCTGATGTTATTAAAACTGTATTCAAATTCTGTTCTGAGGGCGACTGAGCCCAGGGAGCAGAAGGGCGGAGGCCTCCATCACCCACCTACTTCGCCAAACCAGAGCTAGTTTTGAGCCCACTCTTCTTAGAAGGCAGGTTTGGGGATCTTGTGTCACTGCCGAGCACAGCCTTTGAGAACCTCACTCCATGGTCTCCTCAGCCCATCCCATTCCTTCATATCCCAAGATACTCCTCTAAATTCCTTTCAACACATACAGCCATATCCCTGGGAGCACTTCATCAGTACAATCATGTCTGTCTCTGCATTTCTAGTGATGTTTTGGACCCTCCAGTAGACTAGGGTACTCTTTAATCCAGAGTCTCCTCCTAATCTAGCTCCTAAAGAATCCAAGGGAAGAGGCACAGAGAGAGAGAGAGACAGAGACAGAGACAGAGACAGAGAAATGAATGGGAAGACGGAGGGGCATCCATCCTATCAGAAAGGGAACCTGGGTTGGACTGCTGAAGGAAGCATCTCGCAAGCTGCAACCCAGTGACCACACTCCACATTCATTGACCACACTCTTCATGGACGACAACCTCCTCTTTTCCCCTCCCTCTACCACTGAAACCACAATTGAACCTCAGCTGGGCCAATGTGGGCCTGTCCCTTCTTATCTAGTCAAATAAAAGATGCCCTGGACCCAGGGCTGCAGACCTCCTGCCATTCCTGGAGCATTAAAAACCCACAACAGCTCCAAGGGAAGAAACTCCTCACAGCATTTCCACCTCCTCCCTCTCTCGGACAAAATCAGTAAGAGAGAAACTGTGCTGATCTCTAAATAGGAACATGCCTCCAAGCCCAGTGCAGCCCCAGACCTCAGATGACCCCAGGTGACCCCAGCCAGAGTGGAAGTTCCTTGAGGGCATGGACCCCATTGTGCATGTCTAGAACCTCCCTCAGTGCCCGGCAGTGTTTGTGGTTGGTTAAGTGGATAGGAGATCATATTTTTAGCTTTTTTCCACATTTGTTTCTTCTTCCTGCACTTGCTTACATTACATCTTCCACTCAACAACAGGCACCACCCAATGGGCTTCCCATGAACTCTTCTCTTGGGCTCACCAGCCCAGACAGTCCCTGGTTTGTTGAATGCATGGCTTTCATTTGTGAAACTTGCCTGTGACAGGACAAATATGAATTACTCTTAAAAATCATCTCATAAAATATAGAAACCATCACTATATCATATATGCAAATAAAAGATTAGCATGTACTGACTTACCTTGGGCTGTTTATGTTCCCCTCATTCCTACCCAAGATCATTATTTAAGATTCTTTTATTATTTATTTACTTGGCTGTGCTGGATCTTAGTTGTGGTACTCAGGGTCTTCGATCTTCTTTGCAGCAATCAGAATCTTTAGTTACAGCACACAAACTCTTAGTTGTGGCATGTGGGATCTAGTTCCCTGGCCAGAGATCGAACCTGGGCCCCCTGCATTAGGAGCATGGACTTATAGTCACTGGTCACCAGGGAAATACCATTATTTAAGATTTTTAAAAGTTCTCTGTTTATGAGGAATCTGGGTGCGGTTCTTGGGTGAACGGAGTGATACAGAAGGAGGACTATAGATAAAGTGTGGAACAAGCTCTGTATGGGTCAGGATGGTAGGAAATTGGCTCCACTCAGGCCTTAGGTGACATTGCCCAGGAGGCCAAATTTATTTTGAATGCTCCTAGCCTCAGTTTTCTGTCCCTCCCTGTCTCTCCCCTGGCCTCACACTTGAGCTTTCCATCTCCAGTGTGTCTCAGCACCCACTGTGCCTGAACAAGGACCTACCAGAGGTCAAACCTCCAATCAGAAGGAATGCTGGGAATTTCAGGCATCCTGAAAACTTGGTAGGATATATTTGGCAGATTTGAAGGGATGTTTGGTAAGGGGAAGAAAGTTTTCCTAAATCCTCACCAAGTCATTCTGAGCACAGTCCCCTCTTCACCTTGGGGTCATCCCTGATCTTAGGTGTGGGGTTGTTGCAAACAGCCCCCCCATGCCACCCCCTCTACAGAAAAATGTGGCTGGAAGGACCAAAGGATGACAAAGGTGGCCTGGCTCCTTGACTTTATCATTTTCAGAACATTAGCCTTGAGCATCAGAGAGAACACATGGGCAACAGATGGGCAGGTGGATCTGGACAGTTGCAGTGATTAGAGAAGAGGGTGGCTAAATCCTATGGTGTAGAAAATTGTTTCCAGAGGAAATGGTGAGAACGGGCCAAGAAAAAGGGATGGTGCTGCCAGGGCCAAGGAATGGGGGACAGTACAGGCTGAAGTACTCCACGTACTGTTGCTCTGCTCTCTTGTGCCCGGTCATTACTAATGAATGCATTTTGTTCTATTGAGTGTAGACTCAGAGTGCTTCACAACTTACCAATAGAAAATATAACTCATGAATAGAAATTGGGTGGAGAGCATGGAGAAGTTGGGGGAGGTAGTTCATTCATTAACAGTTTTTGAGCACTGCTTTTAAGCAGGTCCCTGTGTTAAGTACCAAAGGGGATGAAAAGATATACCATTAGGCCAAGCAGTATATAATGCTTTTTATTTAGCCCAATACATTTTTAAAAAATAATCATTTCAACATTGAATCAATATAAAAATGTTTGTGAGCTATTTTACACTTTTTTGGAACTCAGGTGTATTTTGTACTTACAGCACATGTACAGTTCAGCTCTAGTCACAATTCAAGCTCTTAAAAGCCACATACGGACATCACTGCCTACAGGATCCCAGAGATATGTTTAAAGACCTGCATGACCCCAGAGATTGCAAGAGTTAATTTAAGGCCCCCTGCCCGGGTGGGACCCGTGTAAGTAGTAAACAGCGACTCTGCGGGGCATGCTGGGAGTTGTAGTTCGCGCTCGTCTGCCCATGGAGTCCAATGGGAGTTGTAGACAGCGGCCCTGTGGAGCATGCCGGGAATTGTAGTCCGCGCCTGTCTGCGGAGGGGTTTGCGTATCATGGCCGCCTACGCTGAGCTCTGGTACTCTTCCGCTTGGCCGCAGAAAGTTTCGGTTCTGTCACGCCTTGGACCCACGAGAGAGTAAGTGCTGCGGACTGCCGGCCAGACTCAGGGGGCACCTCTAGCTCCTGTCGTCTCCGGAGCGGAGACCTTCCCTTCGGGCGCGACTTGTCACCTGTTGCCCTTAACGTCCCCTCCTATCCCGACTCTTCCACAGACCCCGTCGGAGCCCCGACCCCTTGCCCAGCGGGCTTAGGAAGCACCTCGGGCTGATGGATCTGACGGTAGAACCCAGGCCTCCTCTGGTCATCAGTTAGAAAGAGAGACACCCTCCGCCCTCTCCGAACACCAGTTCCAAGAGTCCTCAGGGCAATGGGGTCGCCAAGGAGCCCACCATGTGTGGTCTCAAAACGAGTCTTGGAGTCTGTAAGCACAGGCGGACAGGCCCCGAGTTTCTGCTTGCCTCTTCGAAGAGGCCGCTGACCTTAAGAAGCGTACTTCCTGCCTTAGCTGGGTCGGGACAGCCCACCCCTTAACTTTGCAAGACTCCGAAACTTAACTTTTGCCCGGGTCTCTCTCTTCCTCCCGTCTGTCAGCGGACAGTTTATTTATCCCGACCCATCCCAGGCCACGGCCTAGTCTGTTGACCCGCAGCGGCTTGTGTTCTGGTGCAGGTTTCAAGGTAGCCCCTAGGTGATTGTTCCTGAAACACTTGTGGATTTATGAGTAGTGGGATGGCTGCACCGGAATCAGGCTAGAGTCCATGTTGTTAAGAACCTAGGTGGGAAGGCTGGGTTTTATTTTTGTGATAAAGGCGTGTGTGGTTGACACTTTAACCACGTGACTCTCAGTGCATTTGTATCATCTGATGCCCTTTTTCACTCTTCTCAGTTCCATCCGCTGTCCCGTCCGCAAAAAAATTGAGCGCTACCTGCGTTGGCCACAGCCTCTCTGCTCCTGTACTGGTCTTACCACAGCAGTTTCCTTTCCAAACAGAGAAATGGGTCAGGGGCTCTTTGAGGGCAGAGGATCAGGCCTTAATCTGCTCACTGCTCTCCTGCCACTTCCAGCCTTATGGTCGCCTCTGTACAAGCTTAACTCTGCCATCTGCCTAATGCGGCCTGCTGGGTATTGTAGGGGGGTTGAGGGAAGAGCTGTCACGCTAAGGTTTTCTGCTTTCAGTGACTCCTATCCTCTGAAGTGGGCCCATACTGAGTAAGTTCCACTTGACCCTCCCTCCGATGAGAATTATGTTCACAAATTGTTGAATGTCCTGTACCAGTTATGAGCCTCCACTGTTGTTACCCTGGAAATCAGAGGTAATTGTCTCAGTGATGGGACGTGGTCTTCTTTGATTAAAAGAATCTGAAAAGGCTTTAGGACAAATATTTTCTGCTTCTGTTAAAAGTGTTCTTTGTGTAGTGCTTCATTTAGTTTTTATTTTCTTTTCAGTCACTCTATTAGGAAAATAAACATACAGAATCATTGAGAAAATTTGCAGTGAATGTACACTCACCTGTTAGAGTCTGCAATTAATATTTTACTCTGATCATTGTTGCATTGCTTTAGAGTCAGTCCTCTAGTTGCTCTTCGGATGGGCTCTGCCCCTTTGCTGGCTGGTTTGGGGATACCAGATGGGTTCAGGAGCCACACTTTTAGCCTGGTCCTTTGGGGATGAGATGGACCCCACCGATGTGTGTTATGAGAGGAACCACCCAAAACAGCACAAGATCAGAGCAACTGGTGACTTTGTCTCATGTTGATCACTGAGGCTGTGGACTGCTACCACTAGAACATGCAGTAGGCACTCAAGAAATGGCAGGCCCCCCGTTCCCTTTAGGGGAGAGGCTTGGATAATGAGTAACTTGTGTTTTCTGGTGATTCCAAGGACAACTTTGGTGACTCAAAACCAGAGTGTCTTTAATCCTGAGGCAGAGGCAGCGTATTGTCTATCTGCGGTGCCGTGGTGAAAATCACCAATGGAACTCATAGGCTGGAGCCACTCGCTAGAGCAGGCCCAGGCAGCAGAACAGGTAGGATTCATTAACCAGAAGCCTCCTGTGAGCACAGATGGAGTTTGGCCTTGTCAGCATCTGCTCACCTACTGATCCTGCTCATCTGCTGAATGTTACTGTGTTGCTCAAAAGATAAACAGTATTTCCCATTTGTGATCTCAGTGCCAGGTTTCTGTATTTGTTTGTTTTTAAAGCTCTCGGTTTAATAGCATCTGTTTGAATAACTAAATAAATCAGTAGGGTGAGTTTTGAACTGTTTCCATGGTTCTTTGTTTATCCTGCTGTTTTTAGAGGTGTCACTATACTCTCGCCTTAAGAGCTGCAGCCTCAGAGCACAGGGGCCCCCTGACTTTCAGAAGATCAGGATGACAGAGCCATGCTGTGTTAGGCAGAAGGTGGTTTGCCCCGCTTCCTCACTTTGGAGCCAGTTCTCCTGTTGGTTTTGGTGGCTCCAGCAGTCCTTCCTGTTCACGCCTGTCTCTGTGGCATTTGAAAGAACCCAGGAGCCTGTTTATGGTTGGGCCAGATCCTCTGCAGGGATGGGGATGTGTGTGTCAGTGTGTTTCCGAGGACAGACTTCAGCAGAATCTGTGGCCATGTGGCTGGTTTCAGGGCCCAGGGGCAGGTCCTGGAGTACTGCACCCTTGGCCTGGGGCAGAAAACCAGGTTAGGGAACCCTTGGAATCCAAAGGAAAAACTGAAGGGAAAAAGCATTCCAAGCAAGACATTGGTCTGCAGAGGGTTAGGCCAAGAGGAGAATCCCTGTGAGAGGTCCAGGGTGGGCTGGAAGCTGAATCAGAGGCGGTGGCTTCATGTGGAGCTGGAAGGAACTATAGCCCCACATGCTTTTTCCAGGGCATCTGCAGCCTGGGTCAAGAGCAGGGCTTAGAAGCCTCAACCAAAGGTAACCACTGAGAATGTCTGTTCTTCTCCTTGCCCATCTTCTCTGTGGAGGAAGGTAAAGGGTAACACCTCTCTACACTGCCCATGAAAACACACACACACGTAGGAAGAGGTCAGAAAACTTCCCGAAGACAGGCTAAAATTGCCTCAAAATAGTTTGAACCAAATGTACCATGGGTTTCCCACAGTCATGGCATGATCTTTACTGCATGATTTGGTACACAATAGGGAAAGGACATTTCACAAGGTGAACCTGATTCTACCTTCCTAATAGGGTTCTGGATGTTTCCTTTGGGATTTCCAGTGGCAAGACATTGGCCCTGCACCCCCAAAATATGGATGTATGGCTCCTTCCTGAGCAACTGCCCACCTTCCTAAAAAAGACTGTTTTCTCCAAGCCCAGAAGCAGCAACTCACACCCTCAAGCCCCTCTTGACCCTGTTCTCCTGGGTCAGCCAACTGGAATTGGGGCCCGTTTTGTTTCATGGGGAGTGACCAAGAAATCTGGAATTGTTGGTGGGAGGGAGGGGGCCAAGAAATGGTGCAAGAAGTGATGGCCAAGGCTCAAGTCTTCATTTCCTTTAAGAGAGAAGAGATAACTATGAGGAATGAGTGTTTGGGCTAGATGACCCAGGCACGCAGTTAGTCATGCTTTAACTGTAGGTCTTCAGATATAATTGGGTCACCTAATGAGGCTTTGTTCACGTGTGTTGAAGCATCAGCCTCTGAGCTGGCCTCTGACAGATTCTCCAGCACTCTCCTAGGCACTGTCTTGAAGCCCTGGGGAGGACAACTTGCCTGCCCACTGACTGTTTCAGCGCTGACTGACCCCAAGACCTCCAGGCCTTCACAGTCGCAGGTACCTGCCAAGTGCCCCCCTTCCCATGGGTGGTAACTGGATAGACGCTGTTGGGTGTACTGAACCCAGTCAAGGCAATGAATTCTTCAGAAAAGTTTTCTGCTTTTGACTGGTCCGAACTGTCCTTGTTAACATTCTTTCCTGGTCAGGGTGGAATTGACAACTGGTATGCTCCACCTTGTCCAGCAGTCGGGGAGGAGCCTGCTGTATGGTGCCCTCTCTGGGTCACATGTTAGCTGTTGTGTTGGGAGTAAGTACAGCAAATCTGGCAGGTTGGGCAAGGTTGTCTTCCGTGCCCACACCTCCTCCTCCCTTTCTCATCCGTCTTTTCCAGCATGGCTACTCAGATGCTGTTGTCGACTAAAAAAATATATACACAATGTGAGAGTTACGAGTTAAGTTTTATCTGGGGCAGAATAAGAAGTTTAGCCTGGGAAACAGCTTCTCAGGCATCTCAGGTAGCTCTAAGGAACTGCTCCACAGAGGTAGTGGCTAAGGTCAGTACTATATATGATTTTAATGAAAGGGGGTACATGCAGTCAAGCACACATTTCGGCAAAGGCTTGCTGCTAGTTGTGAGCAGCAGATGTCACTGTGAATGACCTAGTGCTTTTCTAGATATGAGAAGATGTAAGGATTTGGGAGCATAAAAGCTTCTCCTGAAAGTATCTATTGATACCTATCTGAAGGCCTGTTCTGCTAGTTTCCCAGACTACAGAGTGCCTCATTCCTGATCTCCACCCTGAACTCCAGTCAGAATGTGTTGAAGGTCAGTGACTGCAGTGGCTCGAGTGACTTAATCCTTGTAGAGGCAGATGGCAAGTGCCCATTTCCAGTTGGCACGGTGTTGTTCCTGCCGGAGTCAGCTTCTGGGCAACATTAGGAGTATTAGTCATTTGTACCATAGTGTGAAGAAGTTTATGAGTCAGCTTTTCTTTGTATCTTAATTTGAAGTTGAACTGCTGTCTCCGTTGTTTAAGGCATTTAGGGCAACTGGGCAGGTGTGGGAGGAATTTGGAAGTCAAGGAAGGTCCTTCACCTCTAAAATAATACCTCGGTTGTGACTTGGAAGCCAGGCAGTAGTCCCAGGTAATAAATAAGAATTTTTAAAAATGTGTTTAGTCTCTTTTTGTCTTTATCAGAAAATTGGATGCTTTCAGACATTCTGGATAAGCTTAAACATAATTTTGTGTTGTTGGCAAGAGACTCCGCTGTTCCCTCAAATTTTATAAAGTAAATTTCTCTGGTTTTTGAAAGAGCTTGCCAGAGACAAGTGAAGGAGGTGTTTACAAAGTCATCAACAAGGATCCTCGGTTCCTGGGGGCGATTTGCACTGTGGGGGCCTTGCAGGGTGCTGGAGGCTTGGAGCCCATGGCGTGTGGACGGAGCAGTTTCTGAGTGTCTCCCGAGTTAGGAGAGCAGTTTGAAGTGGGTTGTAAAGGTCAGGATCATGCTGGTTCATGCCAGAAGTCTGGGATCCCCGTGATATATTAGGAAATACATATTTGGTCTCTGTCCCTGGTTCCTGGCACAGAACTTCTAATACTATTGGAATTTCCTGAGTAATAGGAGTATCCTTTGTTATTCAAAATAAAACCCTTTCAACCACACAGGCAGTTTGTGCTAGTAAGGTTGACTCTTCCTGGGCCCCTGGATAGGTGGTGTCTTGGTAAGGGCTGGCTGCCAGAGGACTTTCAGCCCCATCCTTAGACCTGCCTTCAGAAGGGCTGAAGGTGGAGTTAATCACCAGTAGCCTGTGATTTCATCAGCCGTACATTATGTAATGAAATGCTCAAAATTTTCCAAGTGGGGCTTCAACAATATGTGAACCGAGAACTTCCAGATGTTCAAACTGGATTTAAAAGAGGCAGAGGAACCAGAGATCAAATTGCCAACATCTGTTGGATCATAATAAAAACAAGAGAGTTCTACTTCTGCTTCATTGACTACGCCAAAGCCTTTGACTGTGTGGATCACAACAAACTGGAAAATTCTTCAAGAGATGAGAATACTAGACCAGATGACCTGCCTTCTGAGAAATCTGTATGCAGGTCAGGAAGCAACAGTTAGAACTGGACATGGAACAACAGACTGCTTCCAAATAGGAAAAGGAGTACATCAAGGCTGTATATTGTCACCCTGCTTATTTAACTTTTATGCAGAGTACATCATGTGAGATGCCAGGCTGAATGAAGCACAAGCTGGAATTGAGATTGCCAAGAGAAATACCAATAACCTCAGATATGCAGATGACACCAACCTTATGGCAGAAAGCAAAGAGGAACTGAAGAGCCTCTCGATAAAAGTGAAAGGGGAAAGTGAAAAAGCTGGCTTAAAACTCAACATTTAAAAAACAAAGATCACGGCATCTGGTCCCAGCAGTTCATGGCAAATAGATGGGGAAACAGTGAGAGACTTTATTTTCTGGGCTCCAGAATCACTGCAGATGTGACTGCAGCCATGAAATTAAAAGATGCTTGCTCCTTGGAAGAAAAGTTGTGACCAACCTAGACAGCATATTAAAAAGCAGAGACATTACTTTGCTGACAAAGGTCCATCTAGTCAAAGCTATGGTTTTTTCAGTAGTCATGTATGGATGTGAGAGTTGGACCGTAAAGAAAGCTGAGCAGTGAAGAACTGATGCTTTTGAACTGTGGTGTTGTAGAAGACTCCTGAGAGTCCCTTGGTCTGCAAGCAGATCAAACCAGTCAATCCTAAAGGAAATCAGTGGTGAATATTCACTGGAAGGACTGATGCTGAAGCTGAAGCTTCAATACTTTGGCCACCTGATGTGAAAAACTGACTCACTGGAAAAGACCTTGATGCTGGGGAAGATTAAAGGTGGGAGGAGAAGGGGACAACAGAGGATGGCATCACCGACTCAATGGACATGAGTTTGAGCAGCTCCAGGAGTTGGTGATGGACAGGGAGGCCTGGTGTGCTGCAGTCCATGGGGTCACAAAGAGTGGGACACGATTGAGCAACTGAACTGAAAAGCCTAGAAATGACAGGATTGAAAAAAAAAAAGAAATGACAGGATTCTGAGAAATTCTGTGCTGAGGAACACATTGAAGTGCTGGAGTGTGTGGAGCCCTGACGTCATGGAAACTCCACCCCACCCCCGACTTACCTATGCTTCTCTTCCATTTGGCTGTTGCTGGACTGTGTCCTTTAAAATAAACTGGTAATAGTAAAATGCTTCCCCAAGTTTTGTAAGTTGTTCTAGCAAATTGTTAAACCTGAGAGGGGGATTGTGGGAGCCCTGGTTAATAACTGGTTGGTCTGAAGTCCAGGTAGTGACAGGTACTGGGACTTGTGATTGGTGTCTGAAGCCCAGGCAGTCTTGTGGACTGAACCCTTAACCTGTGGGGTCTGCATTGACTCCAGAGTTAGAATTAGAGTTAGAGTTAGAATTGGAGAAGGAAATGGCAACCCACTCCAGTATTCTTGCCTGGAGAACCCCAGGGACGGCGGAGCCTGATGGGCTGCTGTCTATGGGGTCGCAGAGTTGGACATCACTGAAGCGACTTAGCAGCAGCAGCAGAGTTAGAATTGAATTGAGGCACTTCTCTGGTGGTCCAGTGATTAGGACTCCGAGCTTTCACTGCTGAGGGCGTGGGTTTGATCCCTGGTTGGGGAACTAAGATCCCATAAACCATGTGGCTTAGACAAAAAGAAAACCAGTTTAACTGAACTGCAGGACACCCAGTGGTGACAACTGGATACTGGTATGGGGAAAAGGCCACATATTTGGTGTCAGAAGTGTTATGTGTAAAAATAGCTCATTCCTAAGCCAAAGAGACACAAGGAAATAAAGTGGAAGGAGACTGCCCCCATTCTGTCTTTTGAAGTTTAATAATAACTTCAGGATCAGGAAAAGGGAGGCCAGAATGCTGAGAGTCATTCTTTCAAATCCATGAAACTAGCATTCTTATGGTGACCATTTGCTTCCTGAAGCCCTGGGAGGTGATGACCCACAGCCCTGTAGGGAAACCTGCTGTGACCCACAGACCCAGCAACAGGTTCTCAGGGCTTTTACCTTGGTGGTGATGCAGGCTCTTGGGAAAACCAGCTTGTGTAATCCATGCTTGGGCACAGCTCACTCATGACCTGGGAGCTTGGCGTTGGTAGAGGGGGGCACGCCAGGGTTCAGCAGAAAAGGCCTCCTGGGCTCGGGCTGACACCTGCCACTTCGCCAAAGCACCAGGAGGTCCAGAAGGAGCATGTTTCTGTCTGCTCAGGCTCATCCTGCCAAGATGCCAGTTTGGTTTAGGGACACTGTTGCCCTCGTGCCAGGCTCCAAAGAGGGCTGGTTTCTAGGAAATCGAGGTTGGTTGTATGGTTCGTGTGATATCCCAGCCAGAGCCTGGATAAGGTGACTCAGAGTGTGTGGTTGTCAGGACTTCCGTTCCAGGCTCCACCCTCCCCCTCTTGTTCGGCTCTCCTGCAGCTCTCAGTATGCACACAGACCCAGTGGACTCTCCAGGTCATCTTCTTTCAAGATTATTTCCCCCCGAAGCTACAAGGCTCTCTGTTGACCATAATCGAATAAGAGGCCTGAAGGTACAGATGTGGCCTCGACACCTGTCACGCCCTTTCCTCCTCGGATCTCTTCGATGACCTCCTGTTCATTTTTCAGGCCTTGCCCAACCCAGTCACCATCACAGACTGTCCACCACACTCTCCCTTCCCTAAGTGGAATGAACGTTCCCTTCCTCAGGTCTTGCATCTCGTTGAATTCATCCCAGTGCTGCTGTTTCTTTTGTTGAGATAAAATGCACAGTAAGTGAGGTTTGACACATACGTTTGTCAAATGTATGCAGTCATGTAGCCACCACCATAGTCAAGACAGAACAGAATTGCTCCCCAGATTTCTGCATGTTCTCTTGTAGTCAGACCCTCCCTTTCCCGTCAGTCCTTGGCAGCCATAGATCTGATTTCTCCCCAGTGTTTCCCCTTTGTAAGAATAGCACGCAGATGGAATTGTAAAGTAGATGGCTTTTCAGTCTGGCTTCTTTCACTTGAAAAACATCATGTGTTGTGTGTATCCCTGGTTCATTCCCTCCCCTTACTGAGTATTCATAACTTCTTATTTGTATCTCTGCGTGGACCTCTTCTGCCTTATCTGCATATCTAAACACTTCCTATCTGTCTTGTCGGCACAGAGCTGAGCTCCTTTAGGGCTGGACGGTGCCTGTGTGACCTGAAACCCAGACTGAACTTGACAGGGCGGTGCTGGGCAGCTGTGCGTTGACAGTGGTGGTCCTTGACCATCTCCTTGCTAGGAGGAGCCAAGTGTCTCCCAGGCAGCAGGGCCTCTGCACAAGTCTGACCCATCCTGAGCTGCTGCTCTCTAGGGTCCTGGCTGGTCCCTTCTCGGGCTTTGTGTTCAGCAGGGACCCAGAGGGCCGCCCAGGGATGGGCAGGCTGGCTTCCGGTAAATCAGCCTACCCTCACTTTGGTGTCTGTGATGGTGGGGTGCCAGCACTTTTACTGGGGACTTTGGCAGAGTCTCTGTGGTTCCCCTGACCCTCTGGGGCTCTGTGTCTGAAATTCCTGGGGGTGTGGTGCTGGTGTGTGCCTGTCTAGTTCCTCTTAGGCAGGAGGAGCCCGCTTTGGGCCTTGTTTTCCCTGAGTCACAGCCTTGTCGGCTTGTGAGCTAAAAATAGGTCTAGGGATATCTGCGCCATGACGGCCCCTCCCTGGGCCCCAGGCTGACCTGGAATGCTTTTGTAAATATTTGGGAACTTGAAGTTCGCAACCATTTTTCCTCCTTCCTTGTCTCCTGGAGTAGTAAGGGTGGAGGGCGCGTACGGGCCAGCTTGTGTTTGAAACGCTCAGGCTGGCGGCACAGTTGAGAGGCATGGAGTCAGAGCAGCCCCCGGAAGCCAGTGGAGTGGTGACACTTGCTGTAGTGACAGCGGCTCCGGTGCAGAGCTAAAGGGGTTGAGTTCAGCCTGGCCAGGGCTCCCCTCCCTGCTGGCCTGGGCCTAGATGAGCTGCGCAGCTTCTCTGTGCCCCAGGTCTCCCTTGTGCGTTGTCTGCCCCTCCCCCGGCCCCAGGGTACTGCTGAGGATTAGAATGGCTGAGTGTGTAAAGCCCCTCGCTGGCCCAGTGCACAGGTGGCTGCTCTGGCCACCTCTCGTCTTACCAGCCGATCTTGCCAGCAGACATTACGCCTTTGCATCAGCCATCTAAGGCAAGGCTTAGAGGTTCTGAAAGGAGGATACGTTGGTGTCCACGTGCATGTCCACACCTCCTTCCGATGCTGCTTGGACCTCCTCTTTTTTGGTCTCCTGCCACCACTGTGTCCTTACATCACTTCAGCAGCTGCCCAAGTAGCACTGGTAACTCGGGACTCACCAGCCGTGAGAGGACTGTAGGCATGCTTAAAATAGACATGTCCCTTGGCTGTGCAGGCCCCCAGTAGCCCCTGGTGTCTCCCCTCCCCGGCTGAGCCGGACACTGGGCAGCTGGAGGCCACAGACCTCCCCGAGAGGCAGGCCAGGCTCTCCTTGATCCAGAAGCCCTGAGGGTATGTGTCCTCCTTCCACGGCTGCTGCTGGCCAGAGGTTACCGACCATTCCTCAGAAAGCAGCCTGGGAGGGCGTGGGGCTGGGCATGGAGGGGACGGAGCTGGTATGGCTGCGCCTTAGGCCTGGCTGCAGTGAGTGGGGGGCTGGACTGGTTCTGGCCTTGGTGTAGTGGGGTGAGGGGAGCCCCTGGGAGGTTTTTAAAGGTGGTAAGTGAGGCAGGCCTGCCGGGAGCTCAGAAAGAATAGGTGGTGCTATTTAGTAGATCTCATTTCTTCTGAAGCCCCAAACCAGGTCATTGTGTCTGAATATAAGTGTATCAGAGAATGTAAGTGTATCAGAGCAACGCTCACGCAGAAGGGTCTAGCCCTTCCCGTTCAGAGGAGACGCCCAGACGGGGTGACTGTGCTCCCAGAGCGGCGTCCCTCTCCTGCTGACCTTAAGTCATGTCTGTGACCCCTTCCTCCACGGCCTCTTCCCCATGCAGGTGCCACCATGGAGTCTGACCACTGCTGAGCGGCCCCAGGCAGGAAGCGCACAGCCAGGAAAGGTGGCCCCAGACGGTCACAATCACCATGGCGTCCACCAGCGCAGAGAGCCAGCTGCAGAGAATCATCCGCGATTTACAAGGTACGGCCCGGCCGTAGGGCACCCCGAGCTTGGCGCTGAGGGAGCTGTGCTTTGCCAGGGCCGGCTGAGTTTCAGCCCTGTGATCCGTGTTTACACCGATGGTGATCGGAGCCCTCGGCACACATCACTGAAATATCTGGGGCTCAGATGTCCACCCCGTGTGAGGCTGGAGGAACCTGCCTGGCTCTCCTCTCAGACACTGTGGAGGCGGTGTGTAGACAAAATCAGATGCCCCTTTTGTCTGATTATAGTGTGTCTGTACACACACCGCTGGGCAGTGCTGGGGTCGGCTCCTCTGTGAAGGGGTGTGCGCCCGCCCTCTGAGGAGGAGGCCGACATCCCTGCCTTTCTGCTTCGCGCTCCCGCCTGGCCCCAGCTGCACGCCCTGCAGTTGGGCCTGCTGCCGCCCAGACTCTCTGAGCTCACTGAGAGAGACCGGCTCGTGGGCCTCGGCTGGACAGAGGGAGAGCGGGCGGGGGTGCGTGTGAGGAGGGCAGGCCTGGAGGAACGGCTGTGTTCTCTACTGACCGTGGAGTCCAGGGCCCAAGTCCACCCTTGGAGGTGCCGTCCCAAGGCTCAGAACTTTAGCAAGTTTTCCATCCCCCGTGGATCTCCAGGGCAGGTCTCGTGAACCTCTCTAGAGCATTGGCACATGTTCTGTGCCCCCTTCTTCCATGTCACGGGGACCCTGGTGACACTCTCCTCATAAACTCAAGGCCCAGGTTCCTAACTGCTCAGACCGATGATAAACCAACTGCAGTCGCTCCAGGCTGGTGGAGGCCACAAGAGTGTTCCTTGTGAGGGTCAAAACTGGATAAGAGGGTCAAAACTCAGGCTTATCTCCTATTTATGTAGTACTTTGGGCCTCTACTAGCTGATGATTACATGGCATTTCACTGTGCCAGGCATGAGTCTCATAGACAATAACTCATTGAGTCCTCACATTTGGTCCTGTGAGGCAGGAACCATTTCATTCCCATCTTGCAGATGTAGAAACAGACACAGAGGTGAGGTGACTTGCCTCAGGTTGCACATTCCGTCAGATGGAGCCTAGGTTTGTACACACAGCTGGTGCCACGGTCTGTGCTCTTAACCACACCATCTGCGTCCAGCTACAATGTGAAATGCCTCTTTTCTTTTTAAATCTACACACACATGCACACACACATGCGCACACACACACAGAAAGTAAAGTGACAGTCGCTGCAAATCTGAATTTGCCCTGGTCTTCAGAGCCTTCTCCACAAAATAGACCATCTTCTCTGTGTTTCAGTCTCTGGTTCTCAAGGAGGACTCTGGGACCTGCGAGTCCTCAGTGGAGGGAAGAGAGAGGAAGGGAGGAGCCCGTGGCAGAGCTCGTGATCCAGGGAGGAGGATAGGCATCTGCTTTTGTTCAGTTGCCCTTTTCTACCCTGCAAGCTGTCCTTGTCTGTCATCCCCCACGTCCCAGGCCATTTCAGTGTCCAATACGCAGTGCTCAGAGCACCTCAGTTGGAAGTTTCAAAAGGCATCACACTTTCTCAAGAGCCTTTCCTTTCATCTGTTGGTAACAGTCAGAGTTTAGAGCAGGAAATTTCATATTCCATATCTAAGGCTCCTTCTTTCTACCTTTCAGAAGTTCCCACGGTAGGTTGTGAGCTTTGCCCCTTCCTGAGGGCGGAGGAGGAAGGCTATGTGTCCTTCCTGGTCCCTGGCCCGGGCCCTCAGAGCCCCCACAGCAGACGCTTCTCATCGGGCACACCGGACATTGGTCACTTGTTGGGAGACTCAGTCCCACAGAACCTGTCTTTGCTGGTGGCTTGCTTTGCCTGAGGGATCAGAGTTGGTTAACTTTTAACAGCTGAGGCCCAGCTTCAGTCCTGGGCACATCTGCTTTCTAACCATGCCATTTGGTCCCAGGGCTCCTTTTCTTTCAAGAATTGTCAGTGAAGGCAGTTTTGTCCTGCATATCCCAAAGCATCTCAGCTAGGGATGTTTTTCTTAGGGTCTAAAGCAGACCCACCTTCTGACAGTCCCTCTGTCCCACAGAAAGGCTGTGAGTGAGAGTCAGAGGGGTTTTTCCTCTTTTTCTGCATTGGGAGGTAAATTGTCTTACAAGTTATGAGAGAGACTCTGGGGTCAGAACCAGGGTTCTCCTGAGAGAACCAGGGTTCTTATTCCAGCTCTGCCGTTTGCCACCCTTAATCTTTGGCCAAGTGCCCTGAACTCTTGATGAGCTCCTCGTCTGTAAAGTGGGGATGAAAATGCCCACCTCTGTCAATTCTACCTTGTACCATTTTTTTTTTTTCACATTTTAACAGCTATGAAATTGGACTCATCTTAAAATCAGTTGCATCTTAAGATTTGTTGAAATAAAGCAATTCCTGCCTCACAATGCTCTGTTGAATAAGGAAGACAGACACACAGAGGTCTGGCGTCTAAGCGGCACTCAGTTGGCAGAAGCAGATGGTGGTGTCGCTCTTGCCATTGTCGTCATGACTACTGTTTGCACCTTCTGGGTCCTCAGGAAGCCTGGATTTACCTGTACTGAGTAGTGGGGTTATAGTGAGGAACAAGAAACACGGCAGGGTAGAGGATAAAGCCCTCAGGAAGTCTGTATTAGGGACTGCTGTAGGATTCGTCCATGCAGCGGATGTTTTTGTCCAAATACTGCTTGCAAATCATGAGCCCTTCTTGGTGGGCTTACAGGGCTGACCGAGAAAGGTGCTGAGTCAGCGAGCTGCTGTAAAGTACCTGTGGGCTCTCGGGACAGCCTCGTGCCTTCTAACTTGGAGTGTTCCAGCCCACGGATGTTTAGGCAGCACCCCGTGTGTGCGCAGTGCTTTGCCATCGTGGACCACTTACTCCTCCTGCTTCCCTGGGTCACCCAGCTGCTCTCTCTGAGGCCAACTCCATCTGGTTACATGTTCCTGCTTGTTGTCTTAAAGATGCTGTGACAGAACTAAGCAGAGAATCTAAGGAAGCAGGGGAACCCATCACAGATGACAGCACCAACTTGCATAAGTTTTCTTATAAACTCGAGTACCTCCTCCAGGTAAGTAACTCCTGTCGTGTGTTGCTTCCTGCTCTGTTGTCTCTTGTCTCTCTCTCAGCTGCCTCATCAAAACACAGGACGCAGCTCCGAAGGCTCAGTGGAGCTGTTGAGCCCTCCTGGTTAGACTGCAGGTCAGAGCCGTCCCCAGCCTCCAAGTGTGATCCTCTGGGGAACCAGATTGTTGCCCCTCGGGATGGTGTTGGGAATAGAGAGCATTCTTCTGAGATTTTGGCTTCTCTGGTAGCTCAGCTGGTAAAGAATCCACCTGCAATGCAGGAAACACTGGTTCGATTCCTGGGTCAGGAACATCCCCTGCAGAAGGGAATGGCAACCCACTCCAGTATTCTGGCCTGGAGAATTCCGTGAACACAGGAGCCTGACAGGCTACAGTCCATGGGGTCATAAAGAGTCAGACACGACTGAGCAACTGTTGCTTCACTTCAGAGATTTATGTCCTCTTAATGCAGGTCACAAGGTCTCTGTATAGCAGGGATCTTCACTTTGGAGTAATCCCATACCCCTTTGGTATCAGGGAAAACTATGGAATCTCTCCCCAAACATAGTCATACATACCTGGTCACACATTTTCCAGGAGGCTCTGGGCCCTCTGAAGACTATCCAGAAGTCCCCATTTTAGAGCCTTGCTCCTCAAAGTGTGGTCATAGACCAGAAGCATCTGCGTCACCTGGGAGCAATGTAGAAGTGCCCTCTTGGTTCCCACCTTGACCTGCTGAATCAGGGTCCCTGAGGTCAGCCCAGGAAGCTTTATTTTAACACATCCACTATATAACCGAACTTACATCTGCTTGGTTCAAGAAGCACAGATCTAGAGAACCACAGATGTGGAAAAATATAGGCAACTACAATAGGTAGAAAGGAAATGGACCAATACAATAACAAAACTTATCTCAGGGTGATGGTGTTAGACATTATAATTTTTTCTTTTCTATTTTAGTTTGTTTTATCCAGACCTCCTAACAATGTATACACGTGTTTTATAATCAGAAAAAATGCCATAGGTTATAGGAAGATACCCTCTATCATTTGAACACTGTAAGTTTGCAGTGTCACCTCCAACCAAAGCATATGGCGTGAGAGCCCACTGGAGGAGGTGTTGCAGTGTGTTGAAGTCTCTCCTTTCACATGCCTTTTCAACTGGTTCTCTTGTTTTACACTGTGAAAGTATTAATGGGCTTTTTTTTTCCTTCTTCCCTGAATTCACCCATTTTGGTTTGGGTTTTGAAATGACTCATGGCTGACATTTATTTGGATTTATTCTATGTATATTAAAACAGTACTGAAACTTGAGTTGTGTAACTGGGGTAAGATGTTACTAACACATTTCCCTATGTCAAGACATTGTTAATAACTCTTCATGTTGCCCTAAAATTTTTCTCTTGCATTTCTTTTCTGTGTGTTAATAGCTCCTTTGGTGTCTTCCGCCCAACTCTATGCACAGAGGTCACTCTGAGGGCCTGTTATTCCTGAATCTCACTAGTTGTATGACCTTGAGCTAGTTGCTTAACCTCTCCTAGCCTGTTTCCTCACCTTTAAACTGGGGACTAAAACACCCTCAGTCTTCAGTAAGTAAAAATAATGCCAATAAAGAGCCTCACTCAGTGCCAGGCAACTAAGAAGCTGTTGTTATTACCCATCATTTAAATGGTGGGATAAAGAGCAGTGTGTTTGAACGTCCTCTCTCTCCTTTCTCTGCCCAGTTTGATCAGAAAGAGAAGGCCACCCTTCTGGGCAACAAGAAGGACTACTGGGATTACTTCTGTGCCTGTCTGGCCAAGGTGAAGGGTGCAAACGATGGGATCCGATTCGTCAAGTCCATCTCGGAGGTGAGCGAAACAACCAGTGATCTCACATCTTCTCCTCTCCAGCTTAAGCCTCTCTCACAGAGACCTCTGCTGCAGACAGCCAGTGAGGGAAGGAGGGCTTACCGGTAGTAAGGAAGTGAGGAAACCCAGTCCAGCTGTGTGCAGTGCCTGCTGAAAGCTCAGGGACGCCTGTTAGGTGAGCGTTTACCACGTCGAAGAGTGGCCGAGTCCAGACTGTGTGTGAGACCTCGGCCTACACATCACCTCACAGGGTGGGCTGTTCACATTGCAGTCTGCTCGTGGTACCCCCAAAGAGATGGACAGCACAGGACACCTTCACCTTTTTTTCAAAGAATTGGTTTCTTAAAGAAAATCCTTACAGTTTGCTAGGCTACTTTCCCTATACCCAGAAAACTTGGATTTGAGATGAAAAGAGTGAAGTGGGATCTTGTAATACACTTCTTAAAACGCCAGCAGTCAGCAACTTCCCACATTAAGTTCTAAGCCCTGCAAGAGCAGAATGCCATTGCTTTGCTGTTTTACAAAACTCCGGATGAACAGCAACACACATTCTCTGTCTCACCAGTCTAGTCCATCTGGTAGTGAATAACTTTGCACATTAGGGAATCCACCTAGATTTGAGACAGGAAGTTTATACATTTCATCTTTCTTTTCGGTATCTCATCAGTAAGTCTAAGGTCCCTTTAAAATCAGAGCACATGTTCCTTGGCTGGCCTCCCACAAAGGCCACAGGGTCGTGTGCTCTGGGAAGAACTCCCCAGCTGTGCCACCTGGAGCCGGGTAGATTTCTTCTTATAGAGAATGACAGCGTTAGACATGCGGACACTGAGGGCTGGGCATTCTCCACCAGCTGTACCTTCTGACAGCTGAGAAAGTGAGGGAAGATCCTGGCTCAGGGGAATTGGTTTAATGTCCAGATGCACAGACAGGTCTTGTGAGCTCATGCCTGGTGGGACACTCAGGTACATGATTAAGTGTTGTATTGCTTCTCTGTGTAGTGCAGTGAGTTTTGATTAGATGCTAACAAAACTTAAGGAATTGAATGATGAAAGTGGACCCATGATCTCAAAAAGTCTTAAAAAAGGCTACGCAGTATCTTCATTTGTTATACAAAGGAACTATTGTTGTTCCCTTCCCTAAAGGATGTTTAAAAAGACCTTTTAACATAACTCCTTTCACACATATAATAGATTCAGTTAATAGGCCTGACTTAAAATATAGCCTCAAATGTTTGCCTTTAAAAAATTAAATGTTCTAAGTGCTGTTACTATGGCCATTTTATTAATAAGGACAGGCCCCTCCCTTGGGAGCTTATAGACTTGAGCTGTTATGTGGGGTTTTTTTTTTAGATTGAGCAGGGCCTGGGTGTGGATGTTTGTGTGTGTGACCTATACGCTTCACTTCACGATGCCTTGCTCAGCTGTTCTCAGGTGCCTGGGTTCCTGGTTGTCACCACTGGACACTTTGTTCTCACCTCACTCATAAGTGGAAAAGCATTTGGACGTGGGGGTGTCATTCTCCCCGAGCATCTGTCGGGATCTACTCCCTGCAGACATGCCATGATGGATTTTATAAAGCCAGTGGGTCAGGCTGCCACCCACCTTCATTTCCAAACCTCCTGGCTGTACCTCAGATCCACAAAACTCACACAGAGAAATGTCTTACAGGCTCTGACAGAAATGTCTTATGAGGTTTCACACCTTCTCATTTTTTAAAACTACCTCATATTGTGGTATCATTTCCTCACGTCAGCAATGAGAAGGCACAGAGCCCTGAGCTAAACGGTGCTGGGAACCGGGATGTTTACAGCATTGTGAACATGCTGGTGCTGGAGGTCATACCTCGTGTTTCCTGTCTCAGTCCAGCGCCATGGTTAGCTTCTTAATAGGATGGAGGGTTGTTGTCATTGTTCAATCACTAAGTCGTGTCCTACTCTTTGCGACTTCATGGACTGCTGCACACCAGGTTTCCCTGTCCTTTACCATTTCCCGGAGCTTGCTCAAACTCATGTCCATTGAGTCAGTGCTGCCATCCAACCATCTCATCCTCTGTCACCCCCTTCTCCTCCTGCCCTCACTCTTTCGCAGCATCAGGGTCTTTCCCAGTGAGTTGGCTCTTCATATCAGGTGGCTAAAGTGTTGGAGTTTCAGCTTCAGCATCAGTCTTTCCAATGAATAGTCAGGGTTGGTTTCCTTTAGGATTGACTGGTTTGACCTCCTTACTGTCCACGGAACTCTTAAGAGTGAAGTGTTAGGACCATCTTTTGGTCAGACCACTGCTACCCTTCCCCCAACCACCACGGTAAACACTTCTGACCTTTGAAGAGATGAGAGGGGAGTGAGTCTTGGCTTACCCCGGTCAGAGCCAGTGCCTGACAGAACAGGTGCATGTGGTAAGTTGGCAGGTTTTGAGCTCCTGCCTATTTATCCTGAGCTTTTGGGGCTGGAACATCAGGAGCATGAACCCTGATTTGCATACTGATCTCAAGTGTCTTGCTAGGGCCAGGCTCTCTGACCAGCTTACTCTACCTCTATCAAAACAAGCTGCCAGAAACCTCTTTAGAAGCTGTTTTTTGTCACTGTGGGGAGAGGTGAATACAGGCTTGCACCTGGACCCTCTATCCACCTCAAGGTTATTGAAACAGAACTGCACCCATTTTTCATTACCTCATTGTGACTGGGCTGCCTAGAAACATCCCTGCCCTCACCCCCTGCATACCTTCTGACTAAACCCAGTGAGTTGGCATAGCTGAAAAGAGATCCCACCAGGAAAGCACTGGCAGATGTGTGGATTTACTGATGGCTCCATGAGGACACAGAGGAGCAGTTACGCCCGTCCCAGGTCCCCGACACCCCTCTGCCTTTTGCCCTCCTCTCTGTCCCCCCCACACGGCCTCCAGCCGCGCCGCCTGGGCCTCTTCTGCTGCCTGTCTTCTCCCAGAACCTCACAAACCCAGCCCAGACATTTGCTCAACGGAGACCATCGTTCCTCAAGGGTACTGCTGCTATGAGGAGCCCGCGATTTATCTCCGCTTGTTTTCTAAAGATTCCAAGTTAAACCAGACCATTTCATCTCTGACTCTAAACCCAGGGATTCTGAGGGAGCAGAGGAGAAAGAATGACCTTCCAGTAGAATCCACAGTAGATGTTTGAGCCTCTCGAGCCCACAGATTATTCTCAGATGGAAGCCTGCAAGACGTCTACACATTTTAGGCCTTTTTCTCTGAGGTGACGTTGTCAAATGTTTTGTGTTCTTTGAGGGACTTGAGTGAAGCTTGTGTGTAGGGGAGAGCTGGGTGGCATTTTCCGCCCTATTTCTGTTTTTGCCAGCTAGCCTTGGAGGCCTGTGTTTGTTTGGAATTAGGCTAACAGCTCTTCGTTTCTATTTTATCTACTTTTTCCAGCTCCGAACATCTCTTGGAAAAGGAAGAGCATTTATTCGCTACTCCTTGGTGCACCAGCGGTTAGCTGACACCTTACAGCAGTGCTTCATGAACACCAAAGTGACCAGGTAAATACATGACAGTTCTGGGCTCTACCCCATGTGATTCAGAAATGACCTGAAGGCCCCTCGTGAATGGTAATGATACTGCTTACACTGGGCAGAGAAAGACAAATGGATCTCTCATGTGGAATCTAAAAGCAGTATGAGTGAACTTATTTATGAAACTGTTGAAACAGACTCACAGACATAGAAAACAAACTTCTTGGGGAGAGGTAAATTGAGAGTATGGGATTAACAGATACACAGTACTATATATAAAGTAAACAACAAAGATTTACCATGTAGTACAGGGAACTATATTCAGTATCTTATAATAAGCCAAAATGGAAAAGAATTTTTAAAATATAGACGTGTACATACATTGTTGCTGTTCAGTCTCTAAGTTATGTCCAACTCTTTGCAACCCCGTGGACTAAAGCACACCACGCTTCCTTGTCCTTTACTGTCTCCTGGAGCTTGCTCAAACTCATGTCCATTGAGTCGGTGATGCCATCCAACCATCTCATCTTCTGTTGTCCCCTTCTTTGGCCTTCAGTCTTTCCCTGCATCATGGTCTTTTCCAGTAGGTCAGCTCTTTGTATCAGGTAGCCAAAGTATTGGAGTTTCAGCTCCAGCATCAGTCCTTCCAAAGAATATTCAGGGTTGATTTCCTTTAGGATTGACTGGTTTGATTTCCTTCCTGTCCAAGGGACCCTCAGGAGTCTTCTCTAACACCACAGTTCAGACGCATCTGTTCTTTGGTGCTCAGCCTTCCTTATGGTCCAGTTCTCACACCCATACATGATCACTGGAGAAACCATAGCTTTGACTAGACAGACCTTTGTCGTCTAAGTGATGTCTTTGCTTTTTAATATGCTGTCTAGGTTTGTCATAGCTTGTCTTCCACGGAGCAAACATCTTTTAATTTCATGTACACATAGTATGTAACCAGATCACTTTACTGTACTTGTGAAACTAACACAGTACTATAAATCAGCTATCAAAAAAATTGTGATGCTATATAATACACAGAGTGAAAGCCATCAATATCCAATGATGGAGGGCTGTAAAATTACAGCAAATTAGCTTAAAAGACATAGCACGACATCATTTAAAATTGTAATAACGAAGTCTATATAGCAACAGTGAAAATAACAATATAATGATCAAGGAAAAAGAATGCAAATCTTATCTGTCCTAATGACAACAATGACGAAATTGCACAAAAACATATAAAACGATTAGAAAGTATATGAGAACATGATGTGATAAATAAAAGGTAGGAATATGTAGTTTTTTTCTTTTTAAATTATTGTTTTTGCAGTGAACGATTTTTTCCAACACTTTGCACCAGGCATTAAAGTGTATGAGGCCTCTGAAACAAGTTCAGGAGCCCTCAAAGAAGTAAGATAAGCTAAAAGATTATAATAATACTATAATAATGCCAGGCACAGTGGCAGTGCCTGTTTGTGTCACATCCTGGCACAAGCAGAGGCCTTCACCTGTCATCTCCTCCCCTTCCTGACCACAGTCCTTGGCGCACACGGAGCAGGTAGCCCTGAGCTGTCACAGGTGAGGAGGCCTAGGGAGGTCAGACGCCTCTCTCTGGGCCCCACTGATGCTCAGGTGGGAAGCAGAAACTGGGGTTCAGGTCTCAAAACTCCTGATGCCAGGTGGTTTCCCCTGGTGGATGGCATGTCCTTGGTGCTGGCAGACGTGCCTCTCCGCAGAACCACCTGTGGAATCTTTAACACCAGCGAGCCTGGGGCTCACCAGAGACACTGAGTCAGTGCCGGCCCCGTTGCTCTGGGCTCCCTGCAGCTTGTGGCAGCGACCAGATGGGGAGCCTTTGGGCCCCTCATGCCCCTGCCATCCCCTGAGCAGGGGGAGGAGGGCAGGATGGAGAGCAGGACTGAGTGCGTGAAGCCAGGAGAGGATATCCAATTAGGAGCCTGTTAGCTGAACCTCTGTGGCTGGCCCGGCTCCCCTTTCCACCTCTGCCGCCTGTCTACCTCTGGGGCTTCTTCCAGTTAATCAAAGAGATACTTCTGAATTAAAGAAAAACTCTTGGTGGCGGGGGAGGGGCAGATATTTTGTTTCATTTTGTGTCACCTTTAAGATTTGTGTAAATGCATATTTCTCGTATATGCTAAGCTTTGTGAATTCATGTGAGTTGAGAACCTTTGCACATTTGATTTGAAGTTTGTTTTGTTGTGTTGTTTGGTGACAGCTGTCATAAACTGACTTACAGTGTCTCCCAGTTCCCAGACATCAGCCAAGTAGTTCATTAAACTCATCAGTGTTGTCTCTTTAATTCTTACTGTTTCACATGAAGTAAAACAGCCACCACCTCAAAGTGGAGGTATTTTGTTCTTTGACTTTTTAATTCGTGTCTGGACAGAAGTTAGCAGTGAGTTCAGTGTCCTATGTTGCATTCTCCAAGAGGGATAGAAGACAAGATTTTCTTTTGAAAAGGAAGTGTTCTTTGCCTTACAACTACCCTTTCCTGGACAGTAATTCAAATTTAAGGTTTCTCGCATTCTTTGGGGGAATAGATAGGATATAAATAATAAACAAATAACCATCTAGTTCATTTCAGTAATTTCCTTGAAGAAGAGTGAGTTTAAGAGTTATATACTTCAGTGGTGAAAATCACATTGGGATTTGCATATTTCTGTCTGAATTTAATTAATTTAGTACCCTGAGTTGCAATTTGATGAGGCAAAGCTGTGCTAGGAGGACTGACTAAATGCACTCTTCCATTATCTTTATTATTCCTGTACTTGACCCCTTTTCATGTTTTTCTGCAGTGACTGGTACTATGCAAGGAGCCCCTTTCTGAAGCCAAAGCTGAGCTCTGACATCGTGGGCCAACTCTACGAGCTGACTGACGTCCAGTTTGACCTGGCATCGAGGGGCTATGACCTGGATGCTGCCTGGCCAACGTTTGCCAGGTACTTTGAAGAATTGACTGCTTGGTTGAAAAGAGAGGAAAGAGGTGTTTGAGGTTTTGAAGCTTGCCGTCAGTCTGCTCAAAGCACTTTTGCTAATGTAGTAAATTACCTTATGCTTGCTAATTTTACAGACATGGTTGCATCATGACTAGCGATAACATCTGAAGGTTCCAGCCTTCAGCTAACCTAGTTGGTTAGGTGGTGTGAGTCAGTGGAGATGCATATGCAAAACCCAGGGTTTTCAGATGTGTTAAGGAACTCAGTGTGGGAGCGAAGTGGAAGCAAGCGGGCTTTTCCCAGTTGTGTTCCCGTAGCTACAGTTATCACCATAGACGCCAGTGAAAGGGATAGAAAGCGCATCGCGTAAGGGCTGTTGGAGTTTGCTTTGCTGTGCGTTCTTTTCCTGCACCAGCACAGCGCCCGTCTCAGGAGTGAGGTGCTGCAGAAACAGGCACAGAGAGTGGAGGGGCTTGCCCAGCGCCACACAGCCGGCAGGAGCAGGGCCAGGGCACCAGACACGAGTTCAGCTCACGCCCAGCACTCTGCGTTTGTTTTTTTTTCACTTTCTGTAAAAAAGGTGTGCTTTGTTTTTAATTACAATTCTTTGTATTTCTTATTAGGGACTTCTTTCTGTGGAGGAAAAAGTACTGACTGTAATGGAACCCATGTGCCAACTATTGGGACTTAAGAGCCAACATTTTTGCCATATTTACTTCACATGTCCTTTTTAGAATGGTTCAATTTTAAAATCATTTCAGAATTGCAGAAAAGTTGTAAAAACAGTACACAGTGCTCATCTGTCCTTCACCTCAATTCCCTAGCTATCAGTGTTTTACTACAACTGTTTTTATCATTCTCTTTTCTTTTGTAATTTTTTGGCTGCACCTCATGGCTTGGGGATTCTTAGTTCCCCAAGCAGGGATTGAACCTGCACCTTTGCAGCAGAAGCATGGAGTCTTAACCACTAGACTGTCAGGGAATTCCATATCACTTTTTCTCCTTATGTAAACGTGGTTTGTTTCCATTCTCATTTGAGAATGTGTCACGGCCCTGATTGCCCTTTACTCCTAAGTATTTCATTGTGTATTTCCTTAAATCAGGGACATCCTCTCATACAACCTCAGTACAATAGTTAAAATCGGGGAATCGACATTCTAGGATCACGTCAGTGAATTGTCAGGGGTCTCTAGTCCTTGTTCATTTGGAATAGTTTCTCCTCTTTGTTATTTATAGCACAGGCGTTTCTGAGAAGTAGAGGCCAGTTGTTTTGTAAATTGTTCCTTGATTTGAGTTTGTCGTATTTTCCTATGACTGTATTCAGGGTAAGCGTTTGGGGAGGAAGAGCCCAGGCGTGCCCCTCTCGGTGCATTTTATCCAGAGGCACAGGATGTTGACTTGTTTCATTACTAGTGAGGTTAACCATCATCATTTGGTTATGCTGATGTTAGCCACGTTTCTCCTGAAGTTTTGTTTCTCTCTTTGTTATTAATATGTATCTTATTGGAAGACATTTTGAGACTAGGTTTTGTTTTTTTTTTCTTTTATCCTATTTCTTTTAAATCTCTCTCCTGTTAGCATCCATTGGTAAATCTTTCCTGAATCAATTACTGTCATGGTTATCAGAGTGATTTTCTGAGTCCATTTTTCCTTCTGCATTAGTGGTTGGCATTCTGTTTGTAAGGAAGATCTTTTCTTTCTTCTCCATCTGTTTATTCATTTGCTTATTTATAGCAGTATTGTGGATTCTTCTTTTATTCAGTAGGTTATATTCATCACTATAATAATTTTAAAGCTCAAGTTATCTTATATTTGGCCAGTCAAAGCCCCTTCAAGCTGGTTCCGATACCTTTTTTTTAAGGAATAAAATATAGATTCAAATAAAGCCCCACCCCATAGCCATCCTTTCTGATTTCTCCCTTTCTAGAAGTAATTACAACCCTGTAGTTGATGAATGTCATTCCCAGATATTTTTGTGTTTTACTGTGTGTCCTCATAAATATAAATAGTTTTATTTTATATATGTGTTTTTTTACGTTTGCCTACATTGAATCATGAAGTAGCTATTCTTTGGCAACGCGTCTTTTTCATCCCACTTTGGTTTTGAGGCACAGGGAGCCCCACAGCTGTGGGGTGGGACTGGCCGGCCGTGGCCCAGAGGGCAGTGCAGCGCCTTTGTTGGCCTGCTGTCTGTGGGTCTGCTCTCCGGCTACGGTGGCAGAGTTGAGCTGTTGTGACAGAGCCCATAAGGCTTACAAACCAAAAATATTCACTGTCTGGCACTTTACAAAAAAGATGACCAGCGTGTGGCGTAATGTTCCTTTGTGTGAGTAAAGAGGTCTGTGTCTCTCCAGTGATACAGAGTCAGACTGGTTCTGCTTTCTCCACTGTGATACACTGCCAAGAGCACCCCCATGCCACCTCACACACATATGCACACGTATGTGACTGTCTTCCGGGTAGATGCTAAGAAGTGCAGTCGCCGGGCTGTGGAGACTAACAAGGTGCAAAATGCAGTAATTGTAGATTAAGGGACAGATTCTGGTTAAGTGAAAGTGCATTTCGTTTGTAGTGACTAGTGCCATCAAATAGAACTTTCCGCAGCGAGGAAAGTGTCTGGTGCAGTCACATGACCCAGAAGAGGTCTTTCCGCCACATCACCCGTGTATCGTACTATAAAGCAGTGACCTCAAGGCCCAAAGCACAGCGTGACATCTGTTTACCAGACTGACTGCAGCTGGTTCCTCACTGGCAGACAAGTAATGGCTGGCACCAAAGTTTCTATGAGAGCTTAAACCCCAAACTGGGAAAATAGCATATCGTTCCTTTTTGACAGTGGGAGCGAAGCCACCATGCTTAGACTTCAGCAGTGGAGTCCAGCTGAACGTGTGCTTTGGTGGAAATTGTTGGACTTTGCCTCCTCACTGTACCTGGGTGGGCATCACCCCTGCCACCACCCGGTTGCCAGTTGACAACCAAGGCCTCCCCGAGTATGTGTGTGTGTTTCCTACTCTGATGCAGGCATGTCTGTTCTGCGGCCCCACAGGAGGACCCTGGCCACCAGCTCTTCTGCTTACCTGTGGAGACCACCCAGCCGAAGCTCAAGCATGAGCAGTTTGGTGAGCAGCTACCTGCAGGTAATGCCAGAAAGGCTGGAGACTTCCTGCCTGTCATGTCCTTGCCCCGCCCAACTCAGGGGACGTTTTCAGACACCTGGTGTTCCAGCCCCAAGCCACATAACCCCTCAGTCCTACCTGCTGTTTCCTAGAGTCCAGGTTTTTACAACCAAAAGGAATTTAGGCCTTTTAAAAAGTAAGTTATTTTTTAAAACTTTTTGAAGTGTTTTAGAAGAAGTGATTTAGCACCGTGGCTAAAAGTGGCAAGATCATATCCTGACTGTCACTCGCCACCTGTGTGACCCTGGGAAGGTGACTTACCTTCTCGAACCTTGAGCTCTCTCATCTGTAAAATGGGATCATAACAATTATCCCAGCCCTTAAGATGGGTGTAGGGAATAGACGAGGGTACGCACATACTGTGCTTGAGGGCTTGGCGCGTGCCTAGTGCTCAGTGAATGCTAGTAGGTAAGGTCAGTTTGGTTAATTTTGTTATCTATGTGAATGGAATGTGTCATATGGTTTAATGGGAAAGAACGCTGAAATTATTCAGCAAAGCAAAATAAAGAGTAATCAATATAAGAAGCATTCAGAGTAGCATTTTTACCCCATTTTGTGATATAATCGCAGTAGGAATTGTGGGTACAGTGCAGTGGGTGAGCAGTAATTTACATATAAGTTCATTTCTCTGAGAGTGACCATCCACTGTGTTACCAGCGCTAGCGGGGGTGGGATGGGAAACGTAGATTCTGGGTCTCAGGGGAACTCACGCATGTGGCATTGCATCAATGTGGCATTGCATCATGGTTTTAGGATGTGCTGCTGACCTTCTCTGGCAACTGCTTTGAGCGAAGGGGTTCCAGTCCTTCGAATAGCTCCATAGACTTTAGGTCACCTAATTGCTGTATTTTTCCTTCTGGTCTCATTAAATGCTAAAGCTTGACCAAACAGCTGTGTAGCTTCAGCCCCAAGCCACTTATTTTCCGTGTTTCTGCCCAGACTCAGGAGATGGCCTCCAGCCTGGACCTGAGCAACCCCTTAAACAGCGAGTCCCTGGAGGGCTTCGACGAGATGCGGCTGGAGCTGGACCAGCTGGAGGTGCGGGAAAAGCAGCTGCAGGAGCGGATGCAGCAGCTGGACAGAGAGAACCAGGAGCTGAAGGCGGCCATCAGCCTGCAGGGAGAGCAACTGCAGGTGGAGAGGGAGAGGGGCCGCGCCACCGCCGAGGACAACAGTCGCCTCGCGGACATGGTGGCCGCGCTTCAGAAGCAGTGGAAAGTCACCCAGGCCACGCACAACACCGCGGTGGAGCTGCACACGTGCCTGCAGGCCCTGGAGCTGGGGGCTTCGGAGAAGGAGGAGGATTACCGCTCGGCCCTGAGGCGGCTGGAGTCCCTGCTGAAGCCCCTGGCTCAGGAGCTCGAGGCCCCCCGTGACTCCCCAGGCAGGAGGGACCAGCCCACGGCCGATGTCCTGGAGCAGACTGCCGCTGCGGCTCTGGATGCAAAGGAGCGGGAAGAGCGCATCACCAGTGACTCGGCCCTGGAGACCCAGGAGCTGGCAGTGAGGCTTCAAGCCCTGGAAGGTGAGAACACCCGCGTCCAGGAGCTCAGCAGGCAGCAGGCAGCGCAGCTGGAGCAGCTGGCCGGGGAACTGCAGCTGAAGGAGGAGGCCCGGGCCTGCCTGGAGCGCCTGGTGGAGGAGACAGCCCTGCTGCGGGAAGAGCTATCCCACCAGGGGCAGGAGGCAGCCCAGCTCCGGCGCCGGCTGCAGGAGTCGCTGGGCCACTTGGGCTCCCTGGAGGAGGAGCTCGCGGAGGCGAGGCGTGAGGCGCGGCGGCGGCAGGAGGAGAAGGAGCTGCTGGAACTGGAGGCCCGCTCACTGACACGGCAGCTGCAGCTCCTGGAGACCCAGCTGGCCCAGGTGAGCCAGCGTGTGAGCAACCTGGAGGAGCAGAAGAAGCAGCTCATCCAGGACAGGGACCACCTCAGCCAGAAGGTGGGGATGCTGGAGCGACTTGCTGTGCAGCCAAGCCCAGGTCTGCCCGGCGCGGCTGAGACGCGTGAGGCTCCGAACTCTGCCCCACAGCAGGCCTGCGAGATGCCGGAGGAGGAACAGCGGGGCCTGCAGGAGGGACAGACAGACAATCCCAGGCTGCATGCAGCTGGCCCGGAGGACCAGCTCCGGCAGGCCCACAGGGAGCTGGAGAAGGAGCTGCAGAATGTGGCTGAGCGCAACCACATTCTGGAGGAGAAACTTAAGGCCCTGCAGGGTGATTACCAAGCACTGCAGCAGCGGGAGGCGGCCATCCAGGGCTCCCAGGTCTCTCTGGAGTCAGAGCAGATGGAGGCAAGCCTGCGGGCCCACGTGGCAGAGAAGGAGGCTGCCCTGCAGAGCAAGGAGGCCGAGTGCCGGCGACTGCAGGAGCAGGTGGAGCAGGGCCGGCAGCTCGCCGAGGCCCGGGACGGGGAGCTCCGAGCTCTTGAGGGCCAGTGCCGGCAGCAGACCCAGCTGATTGAGACCCTCAGGGCAGACAGAGGCCAACAGGGTCTCAGCCCACCTGAAGATCATGCGCCACAGGAGCTGGCCACCCAACTGGCCCTGTCTCAGGCGCAGCTGGAGATCCATCAGGGGGAGGCCCAGCGACTGCAGGCCACGGTGGTGGAGCTCCAGGCCAAGCTGCAGGCCACCCTAGGGGACCAGGAGAAGGTGAAGAGCCAGCTGAGCATGGCTGAGGCTGCTCTGACAGAGCACAAGGCCCTTGTGCAGCAACTGAAGGAGCAGAACGAGGCTCTCAACAGGGCCCACGTCCAGGAGCTGCTGCAGCGCTCGGAGCGCGAAGGGGCGCTGAGGGAGGAGAGGGCCGGAGAGGCACAGCAGAGGGAGGAGGAACTCCGGATCCTGCGGGAGGAGCTGTCCCGGGCCAGGTGCAGCTCCGAGGAGGCCCGTCTGGAGCATGCCGAGCTGCAGGAGCAGCTGCACCACGCCAACACGGACACAGCCGAGCTCGGCATCCAGGTCTGTGCGCTGACTGCGGAGAAAGAGCAGGTGGAGCGGGCGCTGGCCCACACCATTCAGGAGCTCCGAGAGGCCAAAGAGGCAGCCTCCAGGGAGCGGGAGGGCCTGGAGCACCAAGTGGCAGGGCTGCGGCGAGAGAAGGAGAGCCTGCAGGAGCAGCTGAAGGCGGCCGAGGAGACAGCCGGCGCGCTGCCTGGCCTGCAAGCCCAGCTGGCCCAGGCTGAGCAGCACGGCCAGAGCCTCCAGGAGACCTCACGCCAGGAGCTCGACACCCTCAAGTTCCAGCTGAGCACTGAAATCATGGACTACCAGAGAAGACTGAAGGTATCCCTCCCCCTAGCTGCCTGAGCTGCACCCACCTCCTGCAGCAGGACCTGGTGGGTCCCCGAGTGAGTGGGAGGCACCTTGGGCCATGTGGCCCGTGATGGCCCGAGAATGTCCTGTTGTCAGAGCTCACAGCGTCCTTGTCCTGCAAGAACCTGTCAGGGACCCACCTGAGGGAGGGATGCCTTCCCTCAGACATCTGATGCCACTGCAGACACGTTTGGCCCACACAAAATTTTCTTTTGTAATTAGCAGCCAACGTTTTAAGAGCACATTGTTTGTAGATTTAGTTCAGGGGCTTCTTTTGAAATCTTAAGAGGCCTGTAAACCTGTGCCCCCATTCCTACATGGCAGCAGTCAGCAGGAGCAAGGTGGGGACTGCCTGCTTTAAGGAAACATGAGGCCTCTGGTATTTTCCTTACCCTCATTTATATACTTGCTTGTCTAAGCCCTTTGGGCTTGTGAGTTCCTGACTGTCTCAAATCCTGTCCCTGAATTCTCTGTCCCTTAAGCTGCCTTCTGGTAACAGTGCAGTTGTAATAAACCAACTCAATTCATTTTCACAAGACCCTTGGGATAGACGAGCTTATGCGTGCCCTAGACTGCACAAGGGAGAGGGTTAAGAGTGACGACACAGGCAAACAGACACGGGGCTTTGGCCTCTGCTGCTCGTCACGTGTCTGTGTGCTTCTGGGTCTGTGCGCTCTCAGACCACTCCTCTCGCTCAGGCAGCTGCTGCCTTTGCACAGATGTACCTCCCACCCTGTGTCACTGTAACCTGTGCCGCTCCATGTGGCTCATGCTCCACCCTTCCCTCGTAGAAATGAAATTCTAAGCTCAGAGGCCAAGCTAAATCTCTTAGCTTGACAGGATTGTATTACCAGTGAAGCCCAAAGCTTATTGAGTGGGAGGAGAAGTGGCTTGTTTCTACCCACTTGGATGAATGGGGCCAAAGGAGTCTCAGAACAAGGACCCCACTTTTCTGATCCCTTTCCCATGCTCTCAGACCTCCAGTGAAGAATGCAGGAACCTCAGGGGCCAGCTGGAGGAGCAGGGTCGGCAGCTGCAGGCCGCCAAGGAGGCCGAAGGGAAGCTGAAGGTAGGCCCGAGTCCTGGGGCCCAGGGGAGGTACTCCTGCCTGCCTGAGCAGGGGCCGGCCCATCATCCACCTGGTCATTCTCCTCCCGGGCTGTGGGCCTGTTGGGGAGGGAATCTCGCTCGTCTCTCACCGGACCATCAGGAGGCCTGCCTGCGGGAGATCCAGTGGCCTCCCTGGAGCTGCTGTCAGCTCACCTTTGTAGATGCCATGTGTCATGGCCCTGCCATTCCCTGGACACCTGGCTGGTCCTGCCAAGTGTGTTTTTTCACACCACCCCCCGCCGTGTCTTTGTAGAAGAAAATGGCAACCCACTCCAGTATTCTCGCCTGGGAAATCCCATAGACAGAGGAGCCTGGTGGGGTACAGTCCATGGGGCCGCAAAGAGTCAGACACGACTGAGTGACTAACATGCACACACATCTGCACATATTCTCCAAGTCAGTGATTCTGACCTGAGCTGGAGCAGGGGTGGCGCTGAAACCTGTCTTCAGGGCTGTGATGTTTTTCAGAAACCCCCGCACCCTGCAACCACCCTGGAGCCCCTACACCCACCACAAATGGCCCTAGTTGATGCTCAGGGGACATACTTAAAAACGGGAATCTGTCCTACTCCACACACATACTCGTTCTTGGCCTCTTACACTTAAACGAAAGCCCCTCCCTTTGGAAGTGCGCCAGCCAGATGGGGTGGAGTGAGCCAGTCCCCGGGTGGCACCCTGCACGGCTTCTGCAGCCAGGCATCTTCTCCCTGCTGTCCTGTGCCAGGCCACCCAGGCGGACATGCAGGAGAAGCTGAGCTGCACCAGCAAGCACCTTGCCGAGTGCCAGGCCGCCATGCTGAGGAAGGACGAGGAGGGGGCCGCCCTGCGCCAAGACTTGGACAGGTTAGTTACACAGTCTGCCCACGGGGCCAGGGGCACAGTCCTCACAGAAGGGGTGGGTTTGGTCCAGTCATTTAGAAAGTCAACCACTCATTCATCTTTAAAAAGTCCTTTTGCAAGAAAAGCTGTAGACCCAGGAAGTGCTTATGTCAGAAGTATGCCACAGAGATCCTTGGCAATCTGCCTGTCATAAGCCTGTAGAAGCTACAGGGAACGTTTCTCTTAATCCATTGTCATCTCTGGGAGGCATATTTCAGTTCAGGAACTTCATGCTTTGGTAAAAATAAAATGAAATAAAAATTGGGCAAATGTCATGATACTAACAACAGCAAACATTTAAGCCTAAAATGTGGCAGGTACCATTTTAAATATTTGATATTTACTTGCCTATTTAATCCTCCCAACGGTCCTGTGAGGGTGGTATTATTATTTAATCCCATTTTATAGAAGAGAAAATTGCAGCTCAGAAGAGTGAAGTCACTTTCCCAGGGTCACACAGTGTGTAAGTGGTGATGGCAGGACTAGAACTTATAACATTTGGCTCCAGAGTCTTTTTCTGAACAACTACCCTAAAAATATATATATACAGATAGTTTTGTGTTTTATTGTATTTTGTTTTGTTTTAGGGAACTGATTTGTGAGTTATGTGTGTGCATGTTTTCCCCAATATGAGTTTTGACATGAATTCTTCATCAGTGACATGACAGGCTGCGGGGTTAAGTGTGAAGTTCTCCCAGCTCATTCAGGAGTGAGTAATTAAGCCAGGGAGCAGGATAGGCTTGTCTTCCTGCAGACTCTCTCGTGCTGTCTGTGGAGAGCACGTCTTGCCATCACCCTTTCATCATTTCTTTTAACCTTAAAATATGGCCCTCCCTGTGTCCAGCCCCAAGGCTGCCACATCTTCAGACCTGGCAGCCCCCTGGAGCTGTGTGCATCATCAGCTCGCCATCCAGCGATGGGGCCAGGCTCATCCTGCAGGGGATCCTGGTGCCGGATTGCATGTGTGCTCCCAGCAGAAGCAGACACACCAAACTTCCCCGAGGCTTTAGCTTTCCCACCCATCTCCTACCACCTGCTTCTAGGCCTGACCCAGGCTCAGCGGGAGATCCAGACCACGTTGGATGCTTAGTAGCCTGGATGTGTATTTCCTCTCATCTGTCTCTCCTTTCGGAGTTCAATTCCTGTAGGACTCTGGCAGCCCTGAGCCAGGTCGTGTTCATGTGACAACTTAAATAGAACCTCTTAAGCTGGTGGTATTTTTTTTAATGCTATAACTGTGTGTATGTCTGTGTGTCCCCAAGATCAGTTTGGTGGACAGTGTCTCATAAATAGCCTGCTGACTACTTTTTACTGGACATGGCAAGGCTGGAATAGATACAGATTGATTAGTCAGGCATAGCCCTCTAGTTTTATGGAGCGTTTATGAATGCCTTGGTTCATAAACCATCCTTGGAAAACCACTGCCTTAGGGGACTGATAAGCCGAATGAGAAGTGGGCAAGGATGGGCAGACTGTGGTTCAGCCAGCCCCTCTCATAGCCTGAGACTCTGCAGTACCCGGAGAAGGATTCCATAGGCCTCGAGGTCTCAGGTTGAACTCCTGGCCATGCAGAGTTAGTGCCTGCTCTGTGCCCAGTGCCACACCCCATGTGTAGAGCCCCAGAGAAACGTGGGGGACAGATGCTCCTCTGCCTGGTCACCTCCAGGAAGCTGCGCCTCAGTTCTTCCTGTTCTGACTCCTTTTTCCTCTGCGTATCCGCCCGCCATCACTGACCCATGCACCTCACCCATCGGGCTCCTCTCACAACCTCAGTTTTCTCCCAAGAAAAGTGGTGCGGAGTTTGACCCACCTGGGGTGCTCTTAGTGACCTGAGGCCAACCTCCTCTGCTGCACGTCCCTTGTATTTGTTGTGGGGAGTAGCGATGTGTGAAGAGTTTGAGTGTGTGAGAGGAGGGTTGAAGGCTTAAGAGAATATACACCCTGTGGACGGAACAGTGCCGAGGGGCTTCCCCAGGGAAGACAAAGGCAGGTAGGGCAACGGGACTGCTTATGAGAGGCTGGGGTTAGCCCAGGGGGAGGGAGAAGCTGGAAATAGTGGGTGATTGGGACAACTTAGCACTCCTCCACCAGGACCCAGAAGGAACTCGAAAGAGCCACCACAAAGGCCCAGGAATATTACAACAGACTCTGCCAGGAGGCGGCAGACAAGGAGAAGAATGACCAGAAGATGCTCGCTGACCTGGATGACCTGAACAGAACCAAGAAGTACCTGGAGGAGCGGCTGATAGAGCTGCTCAGGTGAGTGTCGGGACAGACCAGGGGGCTTCCCCAGAGCCTGGCTTTTCTTTAAAGAAGTGTGACTCTTCTCGAAGGGACTCTTGCAGGGAAGTGGGCCCCTGTCTGCTTGTGTTCTGTTGTAAATGCACACACACGTGAACAGGGTCTCCTCAGGCCCTTGGCAGCCTTAAAAGACAGAATTTCACTGTCCCCACTAGTGTGCATCTGGTTTGTGCTTTCGTATTACTGTGTTGATTGTTTTCAAAATCTCCGTGTACTCAGCCACAGAGTGACAGTCTAAGATGTTTAGTATCCTAAGGGACTTCTCCGTTCCCTTGCCCATCTCTCATGAGTCCTTCTCTCCTCCTCCTCCGTCCGACTCTCCACAGCACCTGGGGCCCCACACCCCAGGGCCTCAGGTAGCAGTTATGCTTAGTCAGGTGGCAGACAGTGATGTGAATGTGTGACCCGGGCTGGAGGGGCTCTGAGAAGTCAGAGGACATGGCTGCGCTGCTACTGCCAGGTTGCCTTACTTCTTCAGAGAAGATCGAAATCTGGATTTTTATGTGAAATCGGCCTGAGTTTTAAATGTTGGCAAGTCATTCCAAAAAATTTGTAAAGCTTTTTGTATGGGAGTCTTCTTTTTTGGCTGTGCCCTGTGGCTTGTGGGATCTTAATTCTCTGACCAGGGATCGAACCTGTGGCCCCTGCAGTGGAAACCCAGAGTCTTAACCACTAGACCTCCAGGGAAGTCTCAGAACTTTTCAAAAATACAAAAGTAGATAGCACAATGCACCCCTCTGTACCTGTCACCCAGCCTCAACATTATGCTCATGACCAAGTCTTGTGTTCCCTGGAGTCCTACCCATTTCTCCCACCTCCTCAGACTGTTTTGAAGCAAATCCCAAACTTCCTGTCATTTCATCCACAAGTATTTTGGTACATGCCTTCCTAACACTGGGACTCTTTATTTTAAACAGCCACAGTATCATTACTATGCTTAAAAATTTACTAATTCCCAATGTCATCAAGTATCTAGTCATTTTGAAATTTTTCCAATTGCTTTATAATTTTTTCTAGTCAGAATCTAAATTAGATCTGTATGTTGCATGGTGATACGTTTCTTGGATCTCTCTTACTTAGGCATGGTTTCCCCATCATCTCTCCTCTTTTCCTTTGCAGTTTACTTTTAAAGAAAGCAGGCCATTTATCTGTCAGAGTTTCCTGTAGCCTGGGCTTTGCTGATTACATCTCTATGGTGTCATCTAACATGTTCTTCCGTCTTCTATGTAGCCTATAAATCGATAGTTATAACTAGAGCAGTAGTTCTCAACCCTGATGCAAATTGGAGTCACTAGGGGAGCTAACTAAAGTAACACTCAGGTCTGGACCCCACCCAGACCAACCAGATTGGAATTCCTGGGAGTGGGGTCCAGGCATCAGTGAGAGAGAGTTGAAACCACTGCTGTACTAGACACTGGCTCAGACTCAAAGTCTCGTCCGGAAAACTCCATAAAATTGGTGTATGGTTTTGGGTCTTTGTTTCAAGAACCACATAAGATCTAGTTAGCCCTTTCTTTACACCATCAGCAGCCACACATAAGCAGCGCCTAAATGTTCTAATTCATTTGGGGTTGCACATTGGCAATAATAAATTTTGACTAGTTTGGAAGCTTGAAAACTCTGCCCACGTGCCATCAGTTTGCAGACTAGGGATTCGGCATTTGTGACCTCTGCGTTCACACACCTTCCAGAGGTTTGTGTTGGAAAAGCCCAGGTCCCAGCACAGTTGCCACTGCGTTCCCAGGGTCTGGGCACCTGGCCTCACGGGGCCGGACAGAACAAGCTGTGGCCCAGTTGGGAGAATGACGCTGGTCCCAAGAATGAGTCTTCCTGCTTCCTGACAATGTCGGGCATTCCCGAAAAGTCTGTGTTCTGGTTTATATTTAGGGGAACGGTCTTTGGTTGACTTCGGGTCCCTGACTGGTGAGAGTGCCAGCTTCTCTCAGGGCCTGGGTGGCTCTGGTGTGGCTCTCAGCCATCAGTGTCTCACATGTTGCCAGGGCCATTAATTGTTACTTAGACCATAAAAACAAGAAGCATCCCAAACACATTGAAGATTTGGGTGGGCGGTACATTCCTGTTTGTCTCACAGCACACTGGCTGTCATGTAATCGTGGCAGCACATGGCAGCCTAAACTTTCAGTGGCCGTGTACACTGTCATTTAGATCCCTGGGCAGCTGGTGACCCTTGTTAATGCTAGCAGGTCTTTGCAGTTGCCAGAGCCTTTTATGGACCCCGCAGGCCCCCCTACCTTCACATGTGTGGTGTCAGATCAGGACCCACACACTGGGGGACTCCTGCTGAGTCTGGATCTGCTGTGGGGTGACAGGTGACCTCAGTATCAATAAAAGTGAATTCCCCTCCTGTCTTGCAAAATTCAGAAGAAGTCTTTTGAAGTGAATCCAGAGGTAGTTCTGTCATTTTCATGGACGCTTTCTTCTGTTTTTCTAATGTGGCTCTGTCCCAGGGACAAGGATGCTCTCTGGCAGAAGTCAGATGCCCTGGAATTCCAGCAGAAGCTCAGTGCTGAGGAGAGGTGGCCCGGGGACACGGAGGCGAACCTCTGCCTCGACTGCCACCGGGAGTTCAGCTGGATGGTGCGGAGGCACCACTGCAGGTCAGTGAGCGGCTCGTGGGCAGGACGCAGAGCCAGAGCAGGGGGCTTCAAACGGGGAGTTAGGGCAGACGTTGGCATGGCGGCCACTTGTCTAGGAAGAGCATGTTGTCTTTTAATTTTGAGGGAACCAGTTGAGGAGTGGGTGTTAGGCAGGGTCCCAGCAGGACACTCAAGGATCCCCGAAAGGGAAGAGAGTTGAATACAGGGCATGTGGGCAGAAGTGAGGGGACCCCCAGGGATGTGGGGCACCCAGAGACCCAAGTCTCGGCACTCGCTTGGCCTGCGGGGATCAGAGGAGAAATGGACCACGGAGAGAGCAGGGGCTGAGGCTTCACCAGAGGAAAATAGAGCCAAGACCTCCCTGCCCCCAGGACCCAAAGACGGGCAGGCAGGAATGAATTTCTAGTTGGGACAGGGGCATGGAGAATCATCTTTGGTTTTAGAGCACAGCCCCCAGGTGTGGGATGCCCACCTGCATCATAGTGTCAGGGAAGGGGGCTCGGCCTGCCTGCTAGGACCCTAGGAAGTAAAACTTCCTCCCATCAGGTGTCACCCAGGCGACTTTCTTGGAGTCTTAGGAGACGGGCCTTGAGGCCATGGTCCAGAGTTGGGGGCAGAGCTGGGTGTGATGAGCCATGTGGCGCCCACAGCCCAGCCCAGAGCCCAGTCCGGTGCCAAGCAGGGCACTCGCGACCCCTGTGTGGCGTCCTTACGGCCCATGCCCGTGTCGTCCCCAGGATATGCGGCCGCATCTTCTGTTACTACTGCTGCAACAACTACGCCGTGAGTAAGCACAGTGGCAAGAAGGAGCGCTGCTGCCGGGCCTGCTTCCGGAAACTGAATGAGAGCCCCGGGTCCCCTGACAGCAGCAGCTCGGGCACCAGCCAGGGGGAGCCCAGCCCCGCGCGATCGCCTGCCCAGGCTGCACTCCAGGCCACCGGAGGCCAAGGTCAGCTCCCCCACTGCCTCCGTTCTCCTGGAGCCACCCTCCCCAGCTCCCCACTGTGGCGGCTTAGCTGGGCCACGCCTAGTTCAGTCCTTCCAAAATGAGGCACTGAAAAGGTAGTACCACCAGTCTGAGACTTTCTTTTTGATGTAATTAGGATGGAAAGTGAATTGAAAAGGGAATAACTTTCTCCAGATATGATTCAGCATTATTATTTAACATGAGGTCTGTTTGCCTCTTAACTCATGTACCACCAGTGGAACACCACCCCACACTTTAGAAAATTCTGTCTCCCAGGCCCCAGCCCCAAACTTCTGTCCCAGGGTAACCGAAAGCCAGGCGTTGAATCTGGAAATGAGCGCATCCTTCCCTGTCTTCCCAGAAGCTGGTGTTCTCACGCAGTGACGGAGAAGGACACATTGTCCTTCACCTCCTCTCACTCAGCTCAGTAAAAGAACGTGGCATTTGGTCCCTGCTGCTTCTGCTCCAAGCACAGCCTCGCAGACCCCAGCCCAGGCCGCCCTCTCAGGACTGGACTGTGGTGTGGAGCACGAGGCGGGCAGAGCTGCAGTGACTCGGGCGGCAGTGAGCATCATCTGTGCTCAGACATCACTGCCTCCTGCAGCCAGACCCCTGCACCCCTCCTTGGCCTCAGTCTGGATCCATGCCACCCAGCCTTCAGAGACACTGTTAGCTCCTCTTTTGTTTAAATGGATCATCAAGGAGGTTGGCCGGCTCCATTATTTATACTGGATACAAACAACTGCTCAGGGATGGGGAAGTGTACTTTGCACAGCATTAGTGTGTTATATAAAAGTTACTGAATTTTGAAAGCCCTTTATATATCCTAAGTATGATTTATTTATCATATATCTGTTTTACAAATGTTTTCTCCCAACCTATATCCTGTCTTTTTAAATTTTCTTTTGATGAGCATAATTTGGATAAAGTCCAGTCTATCAGTTTTTTTTCCCTCATGGGTCAATTTTTTCCTGTTCTTTTAATATCATATCTCTCTTTGTTTAACTCAAGAACTCAAAGGTCTTCTTTTGTTTTCTCCTAAAAGTTTTATAGTTTTAGATTCATGTTTAGGTCTATGGTTCATTTTGAGTTAATTTTTTTATATGATGCAAGCTTTGCCCAAAGATTCATTTTTTGTATATGGTTGTCCAGTTATTCCAACACCATTGGTTGAAAGGTCTGTTCCCATAGAATTGCCTTTTCTCAAAAGTCAGTTGCCTCTATGTATGATTTGGTATCTGGACTTTCTGTTCCACTCCATTTACCAACGTGCCTTTTCTTTCACCAATACCACACTGTTATGATTGCCATAATTTTGTAATAAGTCTTAAAATCAGGCAGAGTGAGTCCTCCAATTTCCTTCTTTATTAAAACTTGGCTATTCTAGGTCCTATGCTTTTCCATATAAATTTTAGAATTAACTAGTCAATTTCTACAAAAACATCCTGATGACATTTTTGTTGGGATTGCATTGAGTCTCTACAGCAGTCTGGGGAAAATTGCCAAAGGAACAGAGTTGAGTCTTCCAGTCTACACGTGGCAAAGCACTCTGTTTAGGGCTCCTTTGGTTTCTCTCGACAGGCATCATTTTGGGTCCCTGCTGCTCATTTTCCCTTCCCTCCTCTTCCTTCCCCCTTCCCCCTGCCAGCCTAAAAAGGCAGGTTCAGGAATGTGGCTGGGCCTATGGAAAAAAGCCAGTCCCTGGTCCCCCTTTTCAGCCTGTGCCTCAAGCCGCCCTCCATCATGCAGACTTACAGACCAGAGGAAGAACGTCCCTCCTAAAGCCTGGCCCATCCGGGAGCCGTGAGGCAGGGCCCACTGGGAACTTGCAGCCCACATGGACTCTTCTCGCTGACCAGCCCAGGACTCTTTCCCATGCCTGGCTCATTCTGGGTGTTTCAGTGACAACACAGGGTGGCATGGTGCCAGCGTGCTGAGGTTGCTTGTTTTGCTTTCTGATATTCCCTGCCTCCTCCCCTGCCTGTCTTTCTGCCTTACTTGCCTTTTCTTCTTTCACCTCAGGCCTGCCATCACAGCTTCCATCACATGCAGGAGAGTGCTCGGTGGTGGGATGGGGGGTGACTAGAGCAACAGCATCCGCACTTTGTCCTTCCTATCTGGTGCTCTGCAGAGTTGGGCCCGAGTCCCTCAAGCTGCAGGAGTTGGTGGGATGGGGTGGGGAGGCGGTTCTTTTCCACCCCCTAGTGGACTGAGACGGAAATGCAGGTCACACAGACTCTTGCTCTCAAAGAGGCATGCATGAGGCATGTGTCTGCTAGAGCAAGGATTTCAGCAGCAGGGAAGTGTGTTTATCTTTTTGTTAGGTTCTTTCCTGATAAGGTTTTGATAAGTTTTTTTGTTCTAAGTAAGGGGCCTCAGAGAACAGGTTAGAGCTTAAAACCCTTCCACGCCCCTGCCTAAGGGACTTCAGAGAAAACACTTACTTTGTGCGTTCAGTTTCACCTGTAGTCCCCTCATCTGCTTTTCTGAAACATCCCAACAGTCATTTGTTTCCATCCAGACAGAGTAGCTGTCAGTTGAGTGAGCACTTCATGGTGGACCTGAAGTGGTTCATCCCTTGTAGCTGCACTCCCTCCGCGTCCCGTGCATGACCATGTGTTTCTCTTCTCTCCCTACTTGCATCTGTGCCCCAGGTGCAAACACAGACTGCCGGCCACCGGATGACGCTGTGTTTGACATCATCACAGATGAGGAGTTGTGCCAGATACAGGAGTCCGGCTCCTCCTTGCCTGAAACACCTACTGAGACTGATTCTCTTGACCCGAATGTGGCCGAACAGTAAGTAGACATCACCTCCATTTCCTGAGTTCTCATTAAGTACCTGGTATTGTGCCTTCTTTCTTTTTTAAAAAATATTTATTTGGGTGTACGGGGTCTTAGTTGCAGCACTCAGGATCTTCAGTCTTCTTTGCAGCATGCAGGATCTTTAGTTGTGGCATGTGAACTCTTAGTTGCATGTGAGATCTAGTTCCCTGACCAGGGATTGAAGCCAGGCCCCCTGTAATGGAGCTTGAGTCTTAGCCACTGGACCACCAGGGGAGTCCCTGGCCTTGTGCTTTCTCATCAGAGGATTAGGAAAGCTCAGAAGCAGGACTGCCTGTCTTTCATTAAGGGAAAGTGCCTGTGAACAGTGCTCAAGACAGGTGGTCCTTGAACAGCACCAGGACTTGGGGAGTGGTCAGTGTTGAGCCTTTTCAGGGAGTTTCTGGTCATTTCTGTCAGCAATCCTCCTGATTTCAGCAACTCCTTGAAGCCTTTCTTGTCTTGGGCAACTGTTTTAATCCACTTAGGCCGCCATGACAGAATGCTATACACCAGATGACTTCAAAAACAGAAATCTCATTTGTCAAGTTCTGGAAGTCTAAGGCCAAGGCGCCGGCAGGTTTACTTTTCCTGAGGCCTCCCCTTGGCTTGCAGACGGCTGCTCTCTTCCTGTCTCTTCATGTGGTCGGCCCCAGCCATGGGCGTGTGCACCCTAGTCTCTCTGAGTCCTAATCTTCTCTTCTTATAAGGACACCAGTCAGATTAGATTAGGGCCCAGCTTATTGGTGTCATTTTAACTAACTTCTTTAATGGTCTTGGGCTTCCCTGGTGGCTCAGATGGTAAAGACTCTGCCTGCAATGTGGGAGACCTAGGTTTGACCCCTGGGTTGGGAAGATCCCCTGGAGGAGGAAATGGCAACCCACTCCAGTATTCTTGCCTGGAGAATCCCGTGGGGTTGCAGAGTGGGACACGACTGAGCTACTTTTCACTTTTAATGGTCTTATCTCCAAAAGCAGCCATGTTCTGAGGCTCTGGGGGATAAGACGTCAACATGGGGAGTGAAGTGCACGTGCTCGCGTGCATCAGAGATCCAGAATGACTTCTGCTAGGTGATTCAGAAGAGCAGCCCTTCCTGGGCTGCCACAGCTGTGCTCAGAGCAGCACACTGCTCTTTAAAAACCACGTCACAGAACCACTCCTCAGGCCTGTAATGGTGCCACCAGAAAGGAAGCTCAGATTAATTTCAGTTCTCTCCAGCGGTTTCTCTCAGAAGTTCCTCTGGCTTCAGCTAAGGTCTCTTTGAGCCCCAGAGTCTAAAAGCAGTAAGAAATACAGACAAGCCTGTTAGCCAGCGCTCCGTGGGACTGAGCGACTTTCCCCCGCCCAGCCTGGGCCCTGTGCCATCACCCTGACCCAGACCCTCCACACCTTCCCACGGCTATAGATGGACAGCATCCAGCACAGGGCCATCCTCCTTCAGCTCCAGCTCTCCACTGGCTCCCCAGTTTTTCTGGGCCAGCTGTTTTCCAACAAAGCTTGCAAGGAGAGTTGTGCACGGGCTAGTTTCTAAATAAATGAAATAAACTGCATCAAGTGCCACTGTATTAAAGTGTCAAGAGTTTAAGTCAGGGGACCCACGGCAAAGGTCAAGTTCCCCTCCCTGGCAGCCTCACTTGGTATTTCTCAGCCCCGGGGGTCCGGCTAAAATGCAGTTTCTTCTGCAAAGCACTGCCTGCTCAGAAGCTCGAGGGAGAATTGACAGGGTTCCTGTGTCCAGACATTCCTTGACCCACTTTCCATCCAGGTGGGGAGCTTTGTGATGGTTTTGCCCACTCATGTTGAGATCTCTATTCCTCTCTTCATGCCCAGAATTCAGAGGAAGGCTGCCACCAATCTGTCGGATTTATCGTCTGGGATTTCTGCTGCGTGGGAGGAGATGCACTTAATCTTGGGAGGCTCTCAGCTCAGGAGATTTTAGGCTCCAGCGTGTGTCCCCATACTCGGTTATTCTCATACTAGAGGGTGACTGAACTCATGTCAAGGATATAGCCAACCCTATCACCCAGCTAAGGTGCTCACTGTGAGCATGGGCCTTTGGTTTTCCTTTTGAAAGCCCCACCTTGACGCCTTGCCTGACTGCGCGAGCCTGCAGTGTTCCCCCGGACCCCCATGGGGACGGGTATGACCCCTAGGGCATGTTCTGTTGGATTTGCACTACGCCACCCTTGTCCGTTGTCACTTGGCAACTCTTCGCTGACTGCGCCTTGACTCCTGGCCAGGTGGGTCAGGGGTCAGGTGAGCCAGACCAGAACCTCAGGGCCTTGGAGATGGCTTCAGGCTCTCAGGTGTGTGAGAAAGTACCTCCTTAGCTCCCCTGTCGCTTCACCCCTCACCTTCCCCTTTCCTAGTAGGAACAAAAGCAGAAGGTCTTCTGACCACTGACAAATGTATGTGTTTTGGTCGTGGGAAAGCAGGAAGTGTTCCAGGGAAAGGAAACTGCCAGCATGCTGGCCTCAGCCTCCAAGGCAGATCCGGGGCTAGTGGATGAATCTGCAGTCCCATGCCGAGTCTGTTTGGGCGAAGGGTAAGCCCTCCAAGTCAGTTCAGGGCCTGCCCCATCTCACACCTTGCTTGCACATTAACCAGAGACAGACACCCGTGTCTCCTGCGACTTTTTCTTAGGTTTAAAGTCACCAGGAGTCTGAGAAAGTGGCGGTGGGGAGAGTAGTGGTACAGAGCCTGGGTTTGTGTACACATCCCTGCCAAAAGATTTAGAGAAAGAAATCAGCAAGTCCAAAGTAAGAAGTGGTCCAGGAGGGGTTAACGCTGCAAAAACTCTAATCTGGAGAATGGAGGCCGCCTGGAGATCGTGTTGCTGAAAGCCCTGTGTTGGAGCTTTTCTCTCAGGAGCTGCATCTGCCCTCACTTAATCCCCGTCCAGCCCTCCACAGAGTAGGGGTCATGGTCCCAGTTTCACACATCAAGGCACTGAAGTTCAGGAGGCCAGGTAGCTCACTCCAGGTCAGGGGGTTGCAAGTGTCAGAACTAAGCTTTGTACCCAGAACCCCTCCCTCTCGTCACAGGCACGAGATGCATTTTGCAGCGTACTGCCACCCCTGGCCCTGTTACCCCATCTTCCCATCAAAAAGCTACGCTCCTTCCTTACCCTTCATCCACTCCCCCCTCCACACACGTGTCCTCAGGACGAACACAGTTGTCTGCCCTGGCCCCCTGGCTGTGACAGGACAGGAAGAGGTCCCAGAACCCAGGCGCTCAGGAAGAGCTGGCAGGACGCCACTGATCCCTCAGCAGCCTCCCAGTGGCCCCGGCACGTGGCCCCGGGGCACAGGCCTCACCAGGTGGGAAGGTGACATTCTCCAGACCCCACGGACATGCACACCCCTCCCCACAGTCATCCAGGCCCACCTTCAGCCATCTCCCTGACAGAGGCCCAGCTGTTCTCAGGCCTGAAGCAGGCTGAGAAGGAAAGAAAGCTCCTTTCGCCCATAGCAGGGCTGGCCTCGAGTCCTTGGCCTCCCCCAGGCCTACCTCCCCTTCTTCAGCGGAGCATGTCAGTGAAGAGCTTGAGCTGCAGAGTCAGACCCTCCTGGTCAGGTCCTGGGTTGCTGCCTCGAGGTTCACTGCAGCCCCCTGAACTCAGCTTCCTCCCTGGAACGTACAAGATGCGGCCAGCACCCACTTCCACAGTGTTAAGAGGGTCAGATGTGTATCGTGTGGGAAGCCTTCCATGGAGGAGCCCTGTTTTTGCGATGTCTTCCCTGAGCCGTGAGGTCAAGGGTCACGCTGTGGTGTCTACTGCATGGGCCCTGGTTCACTGCCCCACGTAGCTCAGGTGTCTTCACCGAAGAGCATCCTGCCTGTTGCCCGGGATTACTGAGCTCAAACTCTAGAGACTGCGCCAACCCACAGAGTATCTTAGCCAGCACCTACTTTAGAACGGGTGCTCTGTGGTCAGTGCTTCGGGGAACTGTTGTGGGTTTATCACCAGCCGGGAGATCCAGTGCCTGGTATTTCAAACAAAATGAGAACAGAACATGGTGAACATGGTCAAGGTTAGAAAGCCGCCTTTTGTGGTTGTTCATTCGCTCGGTCATGTCTGACCTCAGGGACTACAGCACACCAAGCTTCCCTGTCCTTCCCTCTCTCCCGGAATTTGCTCAGACTCATATCCACTGAGTGGGTGATGTTATCCTACCATCTCATCCTCTGCTGCCCACTTCTCCTCCTGCCCTCAGTCTTACCCAGAATCAGGGTCTCTTCACATCAGGGGGCCAAAGTATTGAGGCATCAGTCCTTCCAATAAATATTCAGGGTTGATTTCCTTTAGGATTGACTGGTTTGATCTCCTTGCTGTCCAGGGAGCTCTTAAGAGTCTACTCCAGCACCACAATTCAAAAGCATCAAATCTTTGGTTCTCTGCCTTCTTTATGGTCCAACTTTCACATCTGTACATGACTACCAGAAAAACAATAACTTTGATTATATGGACCTTTGTTGGCTAAGTAATGTCTCTGCTTTTTAATACACTATCTAGGTTTGTCATAGCTTTTCTTCCAAGGAGCAAGCATCTTTTAACTTCATGGCTGCAGTCACCATCTGCAGTGTTTTTGGAGCCTCAAAAAATAAAGTCTGTCACTGTTTCTGTTTTTTCCCCATCTATTTGCCAGGAAGTGATGGGACTGGATGCCATGATCTTTGTTTTTTGAATGTGGAGTTTGAAGCCAGCTTTTTCACTCTTCTCTTTCACTTTTATCAAGAAGCTCTTTAGTTCCTCTTCACTTTTTTGCCATTAGGGTGGTGTCATCTGCATATCTGAGGTTATTGATATTTCTTCTGGCAATCTCAATTCAAGCTTGTGCTTCATCCAGCCCAGCATTTCACATGATGTACTCTGCATAGAAGTTAAATAAGCAAGGTGACAACATACAGCCTTAATGTACTCCTTTCCCAGTTTGAACCAGTCAGTTTTCCATGTCTGGTTCTAACTGTTGCT